TATTATATTATATTAAATAAATATATTATATAACCATAACGTGTGTAATACACTATAATAGATAATAATATTAGAATTATAAAATTATATTAATATTTAATTATTATATTATTATTAATATAATAAATATAATTATATCAATATAATATAATGTAATAATATTATTGTAATATTATTAATATAATAAATATAATTATATCAATAAAATATAAAATATAATATATTATAAAATAATAATTACAATATCATATTATTAAAATAATTATAATATTATTATAATATCATAGTATACGATAAAATAATAATATTAGAGTTATTAATATAATTATGATATTATTTGTTACAATATTACTATTATATTATATTATATTACGAGTATGAATTTTAAATTAAGAAAATTGTAAATTTTAAATTTCATTAGGGGTATTATGGGTATTATGAAAGTTTCATTAATTGTACTACGTTAATTCCCGCACAATCTAGAAACTTAAATTGTCTTTAGGCTGCTTTTGATTTTGACTGTAGATTCTTAAAAAAAATTTCAAAAATTATTTTTGAAGATATTTATCAAATACTAAAATCAACTTCTGCTACAAGTAGAAGCTGATTTTTGGGAGGAAAAAACAATATCAAACTAAGTCTTTGTCTTAATTCTAATCTCTCAGATAAATCTGCAATAACGCTAATGGCAACTCACCTACAAAATAACGACTTGACCTTATTTCATATAGGGAAGAAGTTTCCCATGTCCCTATTGATCTTTCTTCTTTGTACTTTTTCTTCCATTCCATTGTTCCATTTTTTTCTCAAAAACCATGCTCCTTTATTTTGTACAATTTTCAGATTTTGCCAACGAGTTTCTGACTCACGTATATGTACACGTATGTACCCTTCAACTTGTCTAAGTTGGGCGAAAAGCCATTACGCCAGATTGCTGAGATCTTCAACTTGGTATCTGATCAGTATCATGCAAGAAAGTCAAAACGCTTTCTACACGTATGTAAATTTCTTTTTTTTTTTTTTCCGGTACTTGTAATCTTCATAATACTAATTCTTTTTACATAATATTTATGTATATATATATATACATGTGCGTGTGTGTGTATATATATACACAATGCTTTCATTCACTGCAAATACACGTGGCATCTCGTACTCCATTCGATCGACAATAGTACTATTTCCGAGGTGGTGTGAGCTTGAGGTTTTTTAGCTTTAGCTATAGCTTGTTTTGCTCTACAAGAAAGGCTAGCTTCCCAAATATCTTTTGCTAATTCATTTCCTTTCTAATCAAGGTATCAAGTGTTACCTGCCTCTATGTTGTCCTTTTTATTTTTATTTTGGCGTGAATTTTAGTGGACGTTTGGTTCATAAATTCAGAACTATTTTTATTTTACGTGTGTTTTTCATAAGAGAAAATATTATAACGAACCACGAATTATGATTTGAAATATGACACGAACCCACCAACCAAACGCACCCTAAATTTAATTCATGTGCATACGCTTGGACATACTTTTTTAGAAAGGATACCATACAGTATACCTCTTGGGAACCGGGGTTTGACAAATTTAAGGCTTTACTAATACACAACTTTTTTTTTTTGCGTTATAGAATATTAGAATTAATCATGGGGATTTGGGTATTAAGTACTAATTAATTAAGATTTTTTATTAAAAAAAGGAAATATTCTATGACTTCATTAGATATAATAGGTCATGACCACGTGATTCAAATCTGACAGTTCATATTGTATAAGACTCGATTTAAATCAGCACCAGTTAAAAAATTTTCATATTAGAAAAATAATTTTTAGACTTTTGAGGGTTTGATTGGTCTGTATTCTTGTCTTGATTAAAAAGAAAATAAAAAGGAGAAGAGAAGTAAGAGATATGAAAGAGAGAAAGAGAGTGCCAAAAACGCAAGGGTAGCCCTTTTCCACGGCAGCAAAGCCGGCTTTTAAATTGGTGTCTTTAAGGGTGGAAATGTATGAATTATATATGAGCCATAGTGAAGCTAACGCGTTCGTCTATAAAATTATATTATATTATATATATATATATATATATTTGTTTAATCCTTGGACTCGTCAACTCTTAACTCTTTGCCCATGTGACTCCTGTGATGCATTTTCTCATGGGACTACTCCTTATACGCTTTTTAAGGCACTTTTTTTTCTCTCTTTTTCCATGGACACATAATATATAAGCACACTCACACATAGGACCATTTGCTCAAAAATCCTACCTAGCTTGTACTATTTCTCTTACCAACTTCTCCAAAAATTTCTCTCTCTCTCTCTCTCTCTCTCTCTCTTGTGAACTCTCATATAACGTGAACTTAGACCGCAGGATTTGAAGAAAATCCGTGGCTGTACATTGAAATTCTTTTGTTTTTTTGGCTTGTAATAATTAGCTAAAGCTTGGTGGGGTTTGGTAAGTTACAAGCTTATAATGGAACTCCTCCGAAAAAAACATGAAACTTGTTTCCATTCATATTGTTATACGTTGGTTTTGCAATTCCCAGTATAATATTATAACACAAAGTCATGAATTTTTTGGTTTTGTTTTGTAATTTGCAGGTTAAATAAGCTTCGAATGATGGGGTTAGAACGGCATCCGGGGATGAGAAGCGGGGATTATTTGGAAGGAATGCTTAACGACTATGTCAATGGTACTGGGAAGGCCAACTCCAAGACGTTTAAGCCTCAGAAAAGTGGGTCAGGCAGGCTTGTCACCTTCCTTACATGTCTCCAATTCGCTTTCGCGGTTTACGCGACGTTCCTTCTCTACTACATGAGCCCTACCATAGATTTAAGAACCAAACCGGAGTTCACATGGGCAACAAGAATAGCTCAGAATTGGAAGAGCCTCATAATCACCCCACACGTCCTTGGTCACTACCAAGAGTCAGCCAACTCTCTAGTTCAATCTGAAATCCACCCCATCCTACCGATATCCCAAGTTTGCGAGCACGAAAAGATCGATTTCTCGCAGAAGAAGTCCAACGACGCGGCGATGATCAAGATCAAGAGGGAGCTTTACAATGAGGTGTTGGATTTCCAAAGCAAGTCAGTAGGCACAGAGACTCTTGCTCAGCTCATGGCAATGAAGTCCAAGTGGGACTTGAGAGGTCCTAATTATAGGCCTAAAGTCACTGTCATATTGAACCACTTCAAGAGGAAAACTCTTTGTGCTCAATTGGATTCATTGCTTCATCAAACACTTCCATTTCACCATGTTTGGGTGCTCTCCTTTGGGAGCCCCAATGAAATGTCCCTCAAGAGAATCGTCGAGAGCTACAACGATTCGCGGATCAGCTTCATCAGCTCGAGCTACGATTTCAAGTACTACGGAAGGTTCCAAATGGCTTTGCAGACCGAGGCTGATCTTGTGTACATCCTTGATGATGACATGATTCCTGGGAAGACAATGTTGCAGATTTTGTCACACGTGGCCGGGACCGAGAAGTACCACAATGCGGTTTTGGGCAGTATTGGGAGGATCTTGCCCTTTAGGCAGAAGGACTTCACCTTCCCCAGCTACCGAAAATTCCGGTCCAAGGAAGCCGGGCTCTACTTGCCTGATCCTGCTTATGATATCACAGTTGATAAGATTGTGCAGGTTGATTTCCTTTCAAGCTCTTGGTTTTTGTCTGCAGATCTTGTTAGGACTCTTTTCACTGAGACACCTTTCACTTTTGCAACTGGAGAAGACCTTCACCTCAGGTATGTCCTAATTTATTCTCATTATTGATCATATCCCAGTTACAAAATTTGGCTAATAACAATATTACTTTTAAGTTTTTACTTTATTCATAAAGCGAGTTTAAACTTGTTTAGTTGGAGTCAACCGGGAAATAGTTAATATCTTGAGTAACTTGAATCAAATTGTTAAAATAAGCTCTACTTTTTTTTTTCCGTCTTCATGTATTTACCAATTACACTAGGATTTGGGGTCTTGATGTCATAAATAATAACCCAATATTCTGATTTTGTTACCTTAATTGGAAGTCAAAGAAGGTTTTGAGTTCTCTTCATCCGGCAAAAACTCGTCTTAGAAAACTAAATTGATAACTTGCTTTATACACTGATTAGACTATACTTTATTCAACTAATCTTTAAAAAGAATCTTTTTTAACTTCAATTCTAAACAATGCAGTCAGCTTTTCCGCTCTACATTTGCTTGTCAGAGCAAATAATTAATTTTTTTAAGATGATATATTCTATTTAGAAGGGTTTAATGCTCTTCCAGTACTTTCCACTATTGATTTTCTTCATCCGCTGATTTGTCTGTTAGTACGTGATTAAGAAACAAAGCAACTTTCTTGGAACCTGATTGTCCCTTTCAAGATTCCCTGTATCACTAGTTGAACATAATGAATTTTACATTTTCTAACAAAGAAGTTTAGGCTCAAATCCATGATTAGAGCTGACTATTAGGCAACTTAGTGTGGTATGCACTATGCAGATTATAGGCTTGTTACCAAACCCACTCAAGAAGACCCTTTCATATTAAAAATTAGAAACAGCATTCTGCCTAAACCATTTTTTAAAAAAGTTATTTTTAAAAGAAATTTTAACGGCAGGAACTGTCTTTTTTTACTACTGTTAGATAATGTTGTTTTAACAGAGATTAATTTTTCAACAATCGGATCAAAAAATACGAGCAAAAATTCCATTTTCAAAATCACCATGAAGAGAATACTAAAGAGCTGTTAACTAATGCAATTGTTACTATAATTTTTTTTTATTTTTTATTTTATTTTATTTTTTTTTTTTTTATGTATCGTCTAATTTTATTAACGTCTTAGTTCTGACGTTTAACCATTCGTAACAAAAACATGCAGTTACACGCTTCAAAAGTACAGAAACGCAGGGTCGTTTGTTCTTCCAGTTGATGCAAACGACAAGGAAACATGGGGTGACAGTGAACACAGGCTTGCATATGTTTCCGAAACGACGGTGATCTTCAAAGACGTTGTCCAAGTCCGGGACGACCAATGGTGGAAGGCGCTGTCCACCGGTTATATCACACAGTGGGCCGCAATGTACCCTCAGAAGATTGATGCGCTCTTCTATGCCCACTCAGTTGATGAAGTCAAGGCCCTCTCACCGCTTCTTGACAAGTTCCGAGCGACTGCCGGCAAGAAGGCCTACATCGCGGTCGCGGGGGGCAAGTTCTGCCCTTGTGAAGAGGCCGCAGCCGCTCTCAAGTGGCCTAAGGTGGTTTGCAAGGAGAGGAGGTTTAAGATATTTGATCTTGACGTGGGGGCTCTCTCGGGGATATCGAATTCTGAGGTTCCGGTTGTACAGGCAGTTTATGCGAGCGTGAAAGGTTTGATCAAGATTCACAACCCAAGTGTGGTGATTACTGTGGCTGACATCGATCCCAATGTGAAGAAAGCTCTGAAAATGGCTTCAGAGACTGACTCTAATGGTACTACATTGGTTCTTTTGCCACGGCCTTCTGTGTCAAAGGTACTTTGGATGGCCGACCTGCGATCCACAGCCTTGCCAAGTAAGAAAACTTTACATTTCTCTTGCTCAATTTTATTTAAGATGGGGTAACATAATTGTAGAGTATGGAAAACTCACTGATTGTCATCATCCAGAATTAGATATCGTTTATTTTACTGATTTAAGTTTATAATTCGAGTTTTACAATAGTAACAAATTTTAAAAAATAATCACATTTAATTTTTTTTATTATAATAAAAAATTCTCATATAAAATCACATTTTAATTCGAACTAAAATGGACCGTAAAATAATGTAAAATGCTTGTTTTGTGGTGGTTGGTTACTTGGTTCGGTATACTTTCATTTCAGCAGAGTCTGTAGTTTAGTCTATTCAGATACTAGGCAACCGTAGACGGAGTGACGTTGGGACCAGTGGGGGCACTGAGAAAGCAAAAAAAAAAAAAGAAAAAAAGAAAGAAAAAAACTCTCTTATAACTTCTATGATTATACTTAGTCCCGTTCACTTTATCGATTCGAGTTTAAAATTTAAGTTTTATTACAGTAAAAAATTCTCAAAAAAGTTACATCTAATTTTTTTACTACAGTAAAAAACTCTCACATAAAATTACATCTCAACTCAAATTACAAATTCGAATCAGGGAAGTGATCGCCTTTATTTTCGTATTTGTGCTCCATTGATATACTCATGACACTTTTTTTTTTTTAGAGAAAGAGGAAAATAAGTTAAGACTTAGGATGAATTAAAATTAATAGGTCAATAGTTTACATAAATTAATAAATAGGTCAAATTACTATTTTCGTCCATAACTTGTATGGTTATGAACCATAACTTGACAAGTTATTGTCCATAATTGTCCATAACTTGTCCGGCTATGAATCATAACTTGATAAATTTATCCATAACTTATCTGGTTATGAACCATAACTTGACAAGTTATGACCTATTAATTTTTATAACTAAAAATTGACCTATATACTTTCTTAAGCTTTTCATATTGGCCTATTTTATACTATTTTCTTTTTTTTTTTCTCTCTTTTTTCTGAAAGCCTGCTCTTTTACTTTTGGGCTTTCTTTGAATTTTTTTTTATTGGGCTCTAATTTTTCTTTTTGCTGGTTTTTTATTAGGCTCTAATTGATAATTTGCTTCCCAATTCACACGGTAGAATTACAAGCTGAAAATATATTTATAATATTAATGAAAGACATTTTTGATAACATTGATAATGAAGTTATAATGCAATCGTACTAAAAAATGAGAACTCGTGGAGAACAATTATAATGTGAACCTTACATAATAAAATTTTATTGTGAAAAAATATTAGAAAAACTATTTTATTTTTATGTTGTGTTAATTTATAAATTTTATGCTTATTTATGCTCCACTGAATTAAAAGTATGGCTACGTTCCTGTAGGTAACTCTTAGTGAGTAAACAAAAATATTTCAACCATTTTACGTGCGGATTTCTAATGCCAAAGTGTAGGAGTGGAATTGGTAAATCTGACAACGCAACAAGGTGTCAGATTTAGCAGATCCATAAGGCAAAATATCATGGGCTATATTCTATAATTGAGTGGTCCTTGTACTATGCTTAATATTGTTTATAAATGCATTAAGGGATTTTAAGTCAATTTCCTAATTCAGTGAACTTTTCAGGCCCCCTTATCTTTCATGGTGTTGATCTATTAAGGCTCCGTTTATTTCACTGATTTGAGTTTAAAATTTGAGTTTTGTTACAGTAAAAAACTCTCAGAAACAATCATATGTAATTTTTTTATTACAGTAAAAAATTCTCACGTAAAGTTATATTTTTAACTCGAATTAAAAACTCAAATTAGCGAACTAAACAAGTCCTTATAATTCATCTAATAAGCCAATTTGGTCACGTGCAGATTGGAGCCGCATGCGGGTTTCGGTCAACATCATTACTCAAAACCGAGCTGAGTCACTGACGAGACTTCTCAACTCTCTAAAGAACGCCTACTATGTTGGTGATGAGATTGGAATTAGCTTCAACATGGACAGCAAAGTGGATGAGGCAACTATTAGAGTAGTGAGCTCATTTGAGTGGCCTCATGGAGCCAAAACTCTGAGAAGGAGAATCGTCCAAGGAGGCCTAATTCGAGCGGTGAGTGAGAGTTGGTACCCCTCATCTGACGACGATTTCGGTCTCTTACTGGAGGATGATATCGAAGTCTCTCCTTATTACTATCTATGGATCAAATATGCCCTCTTAGCCTACCACTATGACCCCCAAGTTTCCCTCCCTGAGCTCTCATCAATCTCCCTTTACACGCCTAGAATCGTTGAAGTTGTCAAAGAGAGGCCTAAATGGAACCCAACCGAATTCTTCAAGAAAATCCACCCAAACACACCTTATCTCCACCAGTTACCCTGCAGTTGGGGGGCAGTTTTCTTCCCAAAACAGTGGAGAGAGTTCTATGTGTACATGAACATGAGGTTCACCGAAGACGCCAAGGCAAACCCGGTTCAGATTCCCAAGTCAAGAACGAATGGCTGGCAGGCCTCATGGAAAAAGTTCCTCATTGACATGATGTACCTCAGAGGCTATGTCAGCCTCTACCCCAACTTCCCAAGCCAGGCAAGCTTCTCAACCAACCACATGGAGCCGGGGGCTCATATCAGCGCGAAAGACAACGTTGTGAGGCACGACAAAGCTGATTTCGAGGTGCCGCTGTTGAAGGAGGACTTCAGAGCTTTTTTGCCAAATGGGAAATTGCCTCCGGCCTCAAGGCTTCCATCGTTGAACCTCTTTAACCAGCCACTTTCTCTTAAGGGAATCAAGGCTGCCGGGGCTAAATTGGGCCAGGATGTGCTTGGATGCAACAATGCCACTGAGATTGTGGCTGTTGATCACCAAACGGGCCTTCCAACAAACTGTGCCAGTTTCTGATCAGTTCCTCATGTTAATGTTTGTGTAATTCATTATATTCATTTCTTCTTTTAAAGGGAAAGAAAGGAAATTGTTTTTGTTTTATTGTTGTTATTATTCTTAGGAGGTTGGTGTTTAGGCTTGTTTTACATATATAGGCAGGTCAATGTGGGGATAAGTGGTCTGGGATGAGAGGAAAAGATTTGATTGGATTAAGATTAGAAAAGTTCAGTTATTATTATTATTATTATTTCAATGGTATCTCACTCACACTCATGGTTGAGTTGTAAAAGTGTATAATTCTCAGTTTTCTCACTTTATGACTTAAGGGTTCTCAGTTAAGAGAGATATTGGACTAAGTAGGCTCATTTCTTAATCCATAATCAATAGCTAAAAACTAATCAGACAACACTAATAACTCGACAGTACTATGCCGTATGACATGATCTCCACAACGAATAAGTTATTATATGCATATCTTTTTTTTTTTTTTTTTTCTCTTGTAAAAAACAGGATCAGCCATGCACATGACATACCCATCCCACTAAACAGAAAGTTCAGGTCTACCAACAGAACAAAAGGAATTTTAACTCAATTCTACTTTAAAAAAAAAGGGGAGGTTTAATTTCACTCATATCATCATGAGTCCGACGCCGCACAATTCGATCAGACATGACCGCTATCCAGTATGAGCTTGGGCGCATTTCTTAAACACGTGTTCTAAATTATATATGTACATGATGCAACGGCTATGCAGAACAAAACCAATCGTTTAACGGATTGCCTGCGTCTGGTTAACCGGACAGCAGAAACCATTTCCAAAGAAGATTTACTTTACAGCATTTGAAGTTTCCTTTTTGGTAGGCTCCGGGTTAGATATTATTATCTCAGAATGTTGAGATATGATTAGATTCTTTATTTTAAATTTCATCTTTTGATAGGGCAGTTTCTTTATTTTTAATTTTTGAATTGCTGAATTGTCTATTTAAACAAGCGCTTTTTCTGTGGTTGCTCACCATTTTTATGGGTGAAATTTCTCTCATCATGAAAGGTTAAAAAGATTAGCGTAACCGTTTAAATGATTAGCATAATTTTTTTGTATTAAGTCGTAACAGTTTTTATTTTGAAAACCAGAAGTCAGTTTTAAGCATACGGTAAATAAAACACTGTCATGTACTGCTCCAAACAAATATTCATGCATGACTGGAGATGTCTATCAAAAAAAGAACATGACAGATGTAATTTTTTACGACAATATTATTCAAGTTTAAAACAACAGTCGGTTATGATAAAATAACCGATATTAACAATAAAAACGACAGTCATTTATTGATATATTTTTTAATATTTTTCATATAATTATTCATGACAGATGTACATGACAATCGTTTATTGCTATATGTTTAAAAACAATTTATGATTTTTAAAATAGTAACTGTTACGACTCAATATAAGAGAATTACGTTAGGTTTTCGGCAGGTTACGATTGGCACATAGGCCCGTAACGATGGCACATAGGAGACTTATCCCCATTTACAAACTGGGGGAGTATTGACAATTCCTTAAACAAGAATATTGTTACTTTCAGGTTTGAAGATCAACAAAAAAATCTGAGAACTTACTCTCAATCACTTGTTTTTCGAATTTCTTTTGGATTTCAATTAACTAGCAGCAGCTTTTTTCCGGAGATCCGCCTCATTAATATAACTTCTAATTAGTAATCTTTAGCTTCTCAACAGATACACTTTGTATAAAATCAAGTATATATATAAACCATAATTGCCAGAATCTTATTATTGAGATCGAGATCGATATTTTGTAACTTGTAACATATCCGATTTATTTGTATTGGTCTATGAGAAAACATGGGACGTGTTTTTAGTCCCTCATGGATTGGAACAGAATCTGTGTTCTGCTTTTCCCAAAAGTGCAAGCTCGATTGAAACCTTCACATGTCCTCCAAAGTATAGGGTGCATTTAGAATTCATTCTAAAATGATTTTATTTTTTGTATGAAAATAAAAATGAAAATATTTTTAATCTCAGATTGAAATTATTTTTAAAAATACGTTTGGTAATTTTATCAATAAATTATTTTCGGTATAAAAAAATTCATTAATATCTCTCTCTCTCACTGCTCGAGAGAGGAGAAAACGGAAATAAAAAATGAAAAATGACTAAAAGTCGTTTTTCATTTCTCTCTCATTTTACACTAAACTAAAAAATTATTTTCATTTCTGTTTTTGTCTTTAATTATGTCAAACGGTGTTTATCTCTTGTTTTCATTTTGTTTTCTCAAAAAATGTAAAAAACAAAAATAATTTCAAACACAGAGTCCTTACCAAAATTTAAGCAACAAAAAGTCCATCAAGGCAGTTAAATATGATGCAACTTTTGAGCATATTCTATTATGGTTATACAGTTGGGCTGCCTGATGAATATGATAGTTTTTCATGTGATTGATTACCAATTAGCAACACAGAAAACGATTGATCACCAAAAACACCCATCTGAAAAAGTGTCAAAAATTAGGATTTCACTACTGAAAAAGTGGTAGGTAAAACACACATGTATAGATGGGACTTAGGAAAGCAAAATGTTCAGTTAGTTTTTTTTGTTGTTGTTGTTGTTGTTGTTGTTGTTTCTTTCAGAGATCCAAATTAACCCAGTGACCCTCAAAATTGTTCTAGGAAAAACTGTTTCACCAATTTGTTTGCATTAGCTAAGATCTTTTGTACTTCAAAAGCGTTTCTGGTAGGTGTAGCTAAAACTAAAAAGATGTTGATTTATTAGTGAGCTTGACTTTGAAGAATGTGGGTTCTAAAGCCGCTTTCTTGGGGGTCGCACTTGCATTTGCGAAACAACAGACTAATGATTTTAAGTTGAAGTACTGCAAGTATTGCATTATAATGCACTAATAAGTAATGGGTTTTTAGTATAATTGTCTCTGAACTTATTTAAATTATCCCTTAAATTTTTAATTTTGACAATCAATTCTTGAACTTGTAAAATCATTTCAATGTGTCCAATTTTATTAAATTTGCTCAAATTTTTTATTAAATTTAGGGAACTAAAAGTTAAGGAATTGCAATAATCATCGTTAAAATTTGGATGTCGATAATTTTTCATCGAACATGTTTTTCGATATTAATTTAACACAAACACCATTAAAATGAGATGTATTGCAATAATTTTATAAATTAAGAGGACAACTTGTCAAAATTTATGAGGCAAATTACTAAAGCCATATAAGTTTAAAGAACAAATTACTAAAGTTATACAAGTTCAGAGGATAAATGGTAATCATACACAAACTACCATGGGATTGGGACATAAGATAATTATTAGTTAGTCATAGATTAATTACCAATTTTTCCTAATAAAAAAGATTAATATTACTGAGTATGTGTTAACGAATAGCTGTACATGACGATGTGGATAGTAGATACATATCTCTATGAGGAAAATTTATTAATTAGGAAATAAAAACCAATAACTTGCTTATTAAATTCCTTTTGAAAAATTTTAATCGAATCTAAAAACTAAAGATTCCTTAATATTAATTTGGATTGACAAGTTATTGGATATGTGAGTGTGTGTGTTCACCAAGATTCAAATCCTGATAATTTCATTTCTTGAAGTCCGAATGTCGTATTAAAAAAAATAATAAAATAATTGGGTTGACAAGTTTAAAAGGAAAAGGTTCAAACAACGCATTTAAGGATATATATTTTTCCCAGAAAAATGGAGAAATTTGTATTCACTCAAAAAGTAAGAAAAGGGAAAAAATATAATAAAATCCTCATCTTTCAGTTTTCACCCGTTTCTTTTGCGTATTGCAAGAGTCAAAATATTTCTTTTCTGTTTTGGTTTATGCTTTGTTTTAAGACCAATAATGTTGATACTTGGTGGTGTTTTATATAATTTTGGTGCTATACTTCTCTATTGATCATATTTTTCCATTTCGATTATGGAGGTTTTGCTAAGTAGGTATATGTATTTGAACATTGGTAAGGGCTCGTTCGTTTCGCTGATTCGAGTTTAGAATTTGAGTTGATATTTGATTTTATATGAGAGTTTTTTACTGTAACAAAAAAGTTAGATGTGACTGTTTGTGAGAGCTTTTTACTGTAGCAAAACTCAAATTCTAAACTCGAATCAGCGAAATGAACGATGCCTTAGTTGTCCAATTTTAGAATCTAGTATACATTTATTTATTCTCCTTAAACTTTATTGGTGGAACAGATTGTCATTTTTCTATAGTTAGAGACCATACAAGTTGATATTAGAATATATTCCCATTTTAAAAGAAAATATATAGCGTGTTTAGTTTGTTGATTTGAATTTTTAATTCGAGTTGAAATGTAATTTTATGTGAGAGCTTTTTACTGTAGCAAAAAAGTTAAATGTGACTGTTTACGAGAGTTTTTTACTGTAATAAAATTCAAATCAGTGAAATAAACGAGATCATAGTGTAAACAAAAAAAATTAAGAGAGTTCAAATATCAAATGAAAAAAAAGAACCGAAAAATTGGTAAGTAAATCAAATCTCTATTTGTTGTTTTGATAGAAAATCAAATCTCATATCGTTTAATTCGCTTATTCGAGTTGAAATGTGACTTTATGTGAGAGTTTCTTAGGTCTCGTTTACTTTACAGATTCGAGTTTTCAATTCGAACTGAGATGTGACATTTTATGAGAGCTTTTCATTGTAGTAAAAAAAGTTAGATGTGACATTTTCTGAGAGCTTTTTACTGTAGAAACTTAAAATTGAAAACTTGAATCGGTGAAATGAATGAGGCCTTACTGTAGTAAAAGAGTTAGAAGTGACTATTTATGAAAGTTTTTATTGTAACAAAACTCAAATTCTAAACTCAAATCGGTGAAATAAACGGGACAAAAAAGAGTTTTGTGTAATTTTCATTTGTAGAATTTGGAATTCAACTTTTTTTTTATTTAATACGGAAGCGGCAAGCGGCAGTTTCGTCAAAAAGATCAGAACGTGGCTTCCGATGAGTGGCAGCTTCAATAGGGTACCCAATGAGAGGAAACCTCAAAAAACGACCGGCATAAAAGTACAAACACTTGCAAACTGGTACGATGTCGATTTCACGTTGCAACCGTCTGATGCCATGCCACCTCACCAAATGTAAACACCCTCAAAAAAAAAAAAAAAAAAAAAAAAAAGAGTTAAAAAGCACTCTCGACACGTGTCACTCCATACTACGTTTAAACGGCCGAAATTCAAAACCAAAAGGCAGGGCAATTTGGTCAACCTAAGAAATTACACCCCCAAAGCACCTACTTATTTTCACCACCTGAATCAGGCCCTTCCTCTCTTCATCTCCGTTGATGGTAAAATCCAGGTCTGTTATTCTCTCTCTACCTACATTCTCTTCCTTTCTCTCTCTATCCGATACGATCGGAAAAGCGCGTAAGCTCCGAACCCGAACTGTTCCTTATGATTTTGTTTTACGTAATTTATTTGTATCGTGTTTTTCGCTCCAAATTTTCTGGTTTAGAGTCTAGAAGAACAGTTTTTTTTTTTTTTTTTTTGTGGGATTTCATCGGATACTCGTGAGAAAATAGCGTGATTTTGTCTCTTCTGAATTCAATTGTGACTGTCATTGTTTTGCATTCCGTGTATATGGTGGGAATTTCGACTCTTCGAGGTGCTCGCTTTGTTTTTATTTATTCAATTGGTTAAATGCTTGATTTTGCATTTGTTTTGTCGCCATTGTAATGGGCTGATTGGGATCGTACTTTTTTTTGGTCGTTTTCTTATTGCTAGTTTTTTGCTTTGGTTAACTGGTCGAGAATGTTGTGTGATTTTGAAAATTGAAACTGTGTTTTTTTAATTTCGTTTTTTTTTTTGGTTTGTCAATTTTACAAGCAAAGGACTCTTCTTGCATAGGACATTGTTGAGCTTGAGGGTAATTAATATGATATCGGGCGGTGCACGTTTGGAGGAGAGGTTTTCAGCGTTTGTTTCCTGATCAATTATCAGGAAAAGACTAAATTAAAGCTTGTTGGTATATGAATTTTTGAGCAACTAATTGGGGTCTTAGAGTTGGTTGGAGTTATGTTGGTAATCCTGACTAAAGTTCCTGCAAACTGGGTTATGGTTAATCATGATTATGTTGATATTTGGTGTGCATTACTGTGGACCATTTACTGGGGATAAATGGATTTGGTTTTCGATTTATTTCAGGCTGTTCATCCCAATTTTCTATTGAAGGATAACGCCTAGTACTCTGCCAGAGATCACATTTGCATTTTTGGAGCCGGAGAATGCAATATTTTGTTTCAGAAGTTGTTCAATGAGTTGAGGTTTTGCTGGGAGTGTCACCTTTTGGGTTGATTTCGGAGATAACACAACTGTACTATAATGGGGAGCTTACACCGCAGGTACGAGTCAGTTCTATACCTTTTATTGTTTTTGTTGATAGGGTGTCTTCTCTCAAAGGCCAAAACCTTTACAGTTTGCTACTATATTTTGCGGCTAAGTTTACGAAGTGTCCCAATAATTTTTTTCTACGGCAGTGGACCGGGTAAAAAATCAAGTGATGGTGCCAGACTTGTGATCACTACTATTTTGGGAGTTGTCTTTGGATTTTTTGTTGGCATGTCATTTCCATCTGTTTCTTTAACTAAGGTATGTCAGCCTCCCTTATTAGGAATTTTCATCCAAATTGAACCCTTATATGTATTTGATTTGTTTTAAATTTCGCAGATTAACTTACCTTCAAGCCTTATATCATCTCTTGATGTAGCCATCACTGACATACATAAAACCACCACAAGTAAAAGCGTTGAAGATCATGGACCAAGCAATGTTCCTAAGGTAACTTTTATCATTATTCTGTAATATGTTGTAATCAAAATATCTTTGATTTTGTCTTTGCAGAAAATATGAACCTTTAAGAACTAGTACCCTTGAATTCACGGAAAATATAAAACTTTGAGGACTACTACCCTTTACATCTTTTACCCGTTGAAGATGTAGATTTAAATTATATTAGTGAAGTGTTCATAGATTTTCACTAACTTACTGAACCAGTACAACTAAAGTCTGTTGGGAACAAACATTTATCACTCCATTCTGCAACATGGCAATTTAGAATTAAGGAACTTTTTTCTATCGTTATTATTGTTGTTGTTGTTATTATGTGTCTCCTTGCTCCTGTTTTTGTAGTCATGTATTCATTTTGCAACCAATTAGCCTTTCTATTTGTAATAGATTGTTAGTTCCAATGCAGATTGGATTAGTTAAGATATTATGTTTTGACATAAAGACAGTGAATAGATGATTTCTAGAATTCCGTTAGCATATTTGATTTGTGAATGAATTTCCTGTTTGGATGAGTTTTCAGCTCTAATTGTAAGCAGTTGTCTGTGCATTTTCATGTATTCTTTTTCAAATTTTTTAAGTCGTTTTTGCATCCCCTAGTGTTTCTGCCACTGCTTATATTCAGTGAATTAAGTGGTAGCTTATCATGATACTATGATGCTAACAAGTATTATGTGGTTTTGTTTTTTTGCTACAAGATATATGTTCCAACAAATCCTCGCGGTGCGGAATTACTACCTCCAGGGATTGTTGTGTCAGAATCTGATTTATACCTGCGCAGATTGTGGGGTGAACCGAGTGAGGTATGATATAAATTGTCTTTGGCAAAAACCGCAGAAGTAGTGAGCTTCAAAATATTTTGTTTAATTTTTTCAATATTCAAAATGTAGCACTAGCGAGAATCTTTAGGAGTTAATGTGTCCATGAGCTTGGGCTAAGTCAGGCCAGAGCATGTCTAACCTCAGCCAGAAGTCCTTTATTTGCTCTGAAGGTGCCACTTACTGGGCCAACAATTTTGCTGCCACTTTAACCTCATAATGGATGTTTTGTGGTATTGATCTCAGTATTTCTACTGGATCCACTGATGAATCATTTGGTTGAATGAAAATGCCGTCAATATTTCAAAAAAAGAAAAAAGTATGTGTAAACGAATGGCTGTAATAGGTTTGGCTCAACAGTGGTCTCCGAATTGTGGACATCTTGCAGCAGCTTGAGCTTTAGCAAAAGTCTAGGGTAGTGAAAATCGATAGGGTTGGAACCTGTTATAAAAATTTGATCCTTTGGCAATGACGTGAATCTATTGCTTTAAAGCTAACTGGTAGGAGCTTTACCTTCAAGCTAATGACAATTTGAAACGTGCAGGATCTCAAGAAAAAGCCAAAGTATTTGGTAACATTTACTGTTGGTCTTGACCAGAAAAACAACATTGATGCTTCGGTTAAAAAGGTAGGCATTCAATCAGTTCAGTTATTTGTTATAACTAGTGTTATCTGATTCTAACAGTCAAGGATACTGATAAAGGCTCTTATTCTTGTAATAGTTTTCTGAGGATTTTATGATTATGCTTTTTCACTATGATGGCCGGGTCAGTGAATGGGATCAATTTGAGTGGTCAAAGAATGCGATCCATGTTAGTGTTAAGAAACAAACGAAATGGTAAGCATTTATGGTTATTTTTGTACATTTAACTCTCACCCAAAACTAGATGCTATAAGCATACATGATTTTGTTGAGTTCTTGCATAATTTTTGCTATATTAAACTTCTTCAAGCTTCTCTGATGGTGATACTTTTTTGTGTGTTGCAGGTGGTATGCAAAAAGGTTTCTGCATCCTGATATTGTAGCATCTTATGAATATATTTTCATATGGGACGAGGATCTGGGAGTAGAGCACTTCAACGGAAACAAGTTTGTTTCCTTGACATAGTTCATGTTTTCTCGTCGCATATCTTCTTTAATGTTTCTCCTGACGGTCCTTCATCTTACCAGGTACATCGAGTTAGTTAAGAAACATGGTTTAGAGATCTCGCAACCTGGTCTTGAGCCCAATAATGGACTGACATGGCAGATGACGAAGAGGAGAGGTGACAGAGAAGTTCACAAGTGAGTCTGTTACAACTATTTTGTTTACTTGTATTGTATGTCATCAGATATTTTTATGCCATGAATTGAGAAGTGATTCTAGATTTTCTTTTTATGTCAGGGATACAGAAGAGAAACCAGGCTGGTGTAGTGACCCCCATCTGCCGCCTTGTGCAGCGTACCCCAACTTTCTCTCTTTCTCCTTTTCTCTGTGCATGCTGTTGACTAGGACTACTAGGTTTACTTAAGCATGTATGATTTTTGAGGTGTGCATGTGTATGTCCTAGAATAGTCCAGGCAGCTACGTAGTCTTCACAGTTAATTAAAAATCTGCACTGGTAGTCTGCTACTATAGTAACCATTACCAAATATGACTTAACACTACCCAACTTTTTTTTACGTTTTGCGAATTGTCTATTCTATATTTTTATTAAATTGTTCTGATTTGTTGCGATGATCCTGTGGAATTTCTTGGGAAAACAGTCTTGGTAAATCATGAGCTTTAGTCAGCATTAAGCTGACAAACACCAATTGTCTATTCTATATTCCTGAGCTTTAGTGTTTATAATGGTTATTTTTAAGAGTGTTTATATTGCTTAACAGTACCTTTTGTACATCTTTCAGGTTTGTGGAAATTATGGCCCCCGTCTTTTCTCGGGAAGCTTGGCGTTGTGTGTGGCACTTGATTCAGGTATGGCATGTTTGTAAAGTTGTTTAGCTAGATTACCCAAAGTCTACATTAAAATCCATACGGCAAGAAAACTTCAAAATCAGTACAATTTTTACATTGCGCAAAAAAATGGCCTTTCTCCTATGAATATGAAAATTTTGTACGTTTGTTTTTTCTTCTTCCTCTGTTTTTTCTAGGAAATAATACGTAAATATACTGTCTTTCTCTGAGTGCCTTTTTTTTTTACTGGATTTCCTATATCGCCAATTCAATGTTTTGGATTATTGCAGAATGATTTGGTGCATGGATGGGGATTGGATTTCGCTCTTAGACGATGTGTAGAGGTAAGAAGTTTTATTCCCCCCGAGCCCTGTTTGCTTTTCCCGTTCTCTCACAGTTGCGTCATTAGTGCCTAGCTGGTTATTAGTGGTGCAAACAAGATGAGCTGCTTGTGAAACTTTACTGAATGCATAGTTAAAGAAATACCCTTTTTAGGTTCCCTTTTTCTGATTTTCTTTTTCTCTCTTGCTAGCCTGCACATGAAAAAATTGGTGTGGTTGATTCACAGTGGATAATTCATCAAGTAATACCTTCTCTTGGGAACCAGGCAAGTCACGTCATCTACTTGTGTTTTTGTTTTTGCGGACAAATAGCAAATACATCTGTGTGTCTGCATATACATGTACATTAAATTAGTGACACTGCAAATGTAACTGCACCTGCACTAAAACTCAAAATTTTTATTGAAGTAGCAAATTTGTTAAGGTATGAAATAAAGCCTGTAAGACTTGATAGGAGGTAATTTATTGCTTATTGTGAATAAAACATGTAACACAAAATCAGGTTTTTCTCCTGAAGGTTAGGGATTTTGTGTAGATTTTGGATTGTTCTTCCAATATATGCAACGTGAAACCCGGATCTAATTTACTTTGGAAAGCTATCATAGTCTATTCATCCAATATAAGTTTGAAGTTTTGGAGTTTTCTTCCATGGGTTCTATTGTTTAAGAGTTGCACTTGGAATTCTGTGGATGGCTTGGAGCTTTCTGCATTGTCTTGCACAAATATAATCTGTCTTCCTTAAAAACATGGGAATAATTCTTGAATGTAGTTATCCTTGGAATGTGAATGAGCTCTATGAAAAAAAAAGGTAGGACAACCACAAGCAAGTTGGAACAATTTGGTTTCTAGAAGTTAGGCGTAGTATCATATCATGATTGTAATTTTTTATATAATTAGTCATGTCAATTTGATTCATTCATTTCCTTTGCCTTGATTATATTCGACTCTTCACCTTTTTGCTTTTATTCTCCTTTCCCAATCATACTCGTCTCTACATCACATGTCAATTTTCAGGGCCAGTCCGAGGACGGCAAAGCTCCTTGGGAAGGGGTATGCCAATTTTCCATCAATCTGAGTTCAAATTTGTCATTAATTTGTCTCCAAAAATAGAAACAAAGAAAAGTGACAAAATGGTTCTGATTTTTTTTTCCCCTTGATTTGTTCCTCATTCAGGTTAGAGCAAGATGCCGAAGAGAGTGGGCCGAGTTCCAATCTCGCCTCAACGATGCTGACAAGGCGTACCTTGATCGCAATGGAAAGGAGTAATTTTAATATATCATCCGACTTTTCCCCTCGTTGTACATGTTTGCTTTGGCCCTGAGGGGTTTCTTCAAAACTCCAATTCAATTTCTTCTTTGTTAGTTGAGCCTCTGCTCGAGGTTTTAAGTTTATTTTCTGAGCTTTTTTTTTTTCCTTGTGTATCTCACATATGTTAGTTATATACAAGAGAAATTTTGCATTTGTCAAATGTCATGGGTGTCTTATTGCAGCATTTTTATGCTGTTTGTGGGAGCAGTTAGGGTGGCTTTTCCATAAAGACTTTAATATTCCAACTTTGCATTCGAACTTGGAAACCACGTCCTTTGATTATGTCTGAGAACGCAGAGACTGGTCAGTGACCGGGTTTGCAATTCGTGTCACGTGTCGAGTTCCCCGTTGTCACGCTTCCTCACTAGTAGTCACGCTTTCCCTGTTGTCTAACACTAGACAGAACCTAAGTTACAACTTATAACTGAAAAGGAACAATAAGAAAGTGGCAATTTTTTATCTGAATTTTGTCCATGTCGGTGGTTTTTCTTCTTTTCAAAGTGTGTGTGTGTGTGTTTATGCTTCTTTTCAGGTTTATGAATGCATTTGACTGTTTTCATCAGTTATGTATGTAAATCTAACTGGCGTTAAGTTGGCCATAAAGTGCTGTGTATGAAACGTGATTCGTGTAGTTCTGCGGAAGTTTCACAAGCTACAAAATTAAGTTTCACAATTGGCGTATACGTGAGCGCTCAGACAGGATAAAAAAATTTGTACTTTTCCTTTATATGAGTGGAATGGCCCCATTGCACTTGCGTATTTTACCAACTCATATAAAAAAAAGTTTAAAGCACACAATTCTTTGTACCTTGACCCACATAATTGAGCGAACAGAATAACCATGAAACTAACAAAATATAATTATTGTCGTAGACTAGAGAGGACTGGATCAAGTAAAGTGCCTGCAAAGTAGTCATACGCTACAATGAAAGAACCTTCAAAACAATATTTTAGTATACAGTAACAGCATAACTTTTCATGTCACTCGAATGAGATCAAACATCTGGCAAATCAACTGTTGGTAATTTGGTAGGATACTGCTCATTCTTCCATCTGGCAAATCAACTATTGGTAATTTGGTAGGATACTGCTCATTCTTCTTTACAAGATTTTGAGTTTGAATTTGTCCCACCGCAATAACCGTTACGTTCTGTTTTCATAGCTCTTTTAATTTGGTAAAACTATTTGGCATATCATGGTCTATCCTAACACATGCCTAATTCTATGCCTTGCCATTAGAAATGAGATAAGTGTATTTGCATAATACGTCAAAAAGAAAGACTATCAATACTTTTAAGGGTCAAAAAGAAAAGGAAAATAGTAGAAAATAGGCCAATATGAAAAGCTTATAAAAGTATATAGGCCAATTTTTAGTTATAGAAATTAATAGGTCATAACTTGTCAAGTTATGGTTCATAACCAGATAAGTTATGGACAAACTTGTCAAGTTATGGTTCATAGCCAGACAAGTTATGGATAAAAACCGTGAATTATGGACAATAACTTGTCAAGTTATAGTTCATAACCAGACAAGTTATGGACGAAAACAGTAATTTAGCCTATTTATTAACTTATGTAAACTATTAGCCTATTAATTTTAATTCATCTCAAGTTTTATCTTATTTTCCTCTTTCTCCTAAAAGGAAATTGAACGTGTACACGGGCCAAATATATCAACCTTTTTAGTTCTGTTCAAAGTTTAAGTACTTCGTGTATTTAACTTGATCTCCACGTCCTGTTTGTATCATTCACAAGAGGATTGTTGGAGCTAAAATGACACTTGAGAAAAACGCTAAATTTTGAGAATTTGTTATACACATGCTTCACAGAACCAGGAAAGCCGTTTTCAGAAACATTTTACACATTTCTTATAAAATTTTCCTTCCCTAGACAAAGAACATGAAAAGATTTGATGTTCTTTTCATTCTTCCATTTCTTTTCTTTATTTGGACTGCCCTTTAGGTAATTGAAAATAACTTTAGAATTTGTTGCGTCATATTTGATGTTTTAGCTAATATATATTATTTCTCCACAAAAAGTGAGTGAATCCTAACAAGTTTGATGCCCCCATTTTCACCTGCTTATGATTAATTAGGCCAGGAAATCAACTTTTTTCCAAGTCCAACCATTAATTCCTGGTGGGTAATGCTAAAAAGGAGTCAAAAGACATTAAATTAAGAAAGAAACAAAAATTTGGAGTGAAATTGAAGTTTTCTTCATCACCAAACACCAATTGAGTTTGAGGATGGCAAGCTTTTATTTGCTTGCTTTGGCAGATATCTCTACTCAGCTCACTCACATTTAAGAAAACCCTTATCTCACCTTCCTGCCTTGTTTGATAAGACTAGTTTCTAATATATATATATATATATATATATATATAACGGCGAAATTAAATTAAATTAAAAAAATTAATTAAGAGGATCAAATTGGACTAAAATGCCCTTTCCTACCACCCAAACGTGAAGAATTTGATGTGCATCGAGGAATATACTGGAATCCATCTCTATTTTGGGGGGTGACATGTTTTCGACCACAAAATTGTAATGTTATTCCTTCCCAAAAGCTCAGATAATTCTTTCTTAAAAAAAAAAAAAAATCCTCATTATAAAAAGATTAGAAATAATAGATTTTCATGATAGTGTATGAGAAAGAAAGAAAAAAAAAATATCAATACGATATAGTTCTAAACTGTTAAATTACAAGAACGTCATATAAGATTAAAAAAAATGATAATTCAAAACAATGTCTTCTTCTTAAAAATAATTTTTCACATATCTTCGTTAATAATCAGTAGATAATTTTTTTAGACACATAAAAATGAACGGTACCTTATTTGTTGAACTAAAATGTATTATAGTTTTTCTTTTGCGGTTATTAGTTCAGAGTAATCTGGTGTTAGGTTCTTAGTTGAGAGCAATCTAATCAAAACATCTCCAGTGTCATATTCAGCTTCTTTTTGGGTCAATAATCAACAAATCAAACTCAAGATCACTTACGAATAAGCCCAACGCAATGATAAAGACGCAAAACGAAATCCCAATGAAAAACACAACAAGGGTACTTCCGTCCTTTCAAACAAGTCCTGCCACCTTAACTAACCGTCATTTGAATTTAACTGTCTTGCTTGTATTGGCCGTTAACTTTCCTAAAGGAAAGAGAGACGCGTGGGAAACGAAAACGGAAAACCAGAGCGACCCGCTCTAAATCTACTAACGGCCGTTAGTGTTTGGCACCAACCGCATAAAAGCCTCCAAAAATAAAATGGGCGCAAAACCTTCATTCTCATTCAAGCCAACCCTTCTCTCTCTCTCTCTCTCTCTCTCTGAGCTCTGAAGTCTAGTTCTCTCTGAATCTCTTTCGATTCCTGAACCGGCCATTATTCCGAGAAGCTTGCCGGTGAACCGCCGCTGAATTTCCCGGAGTTTTAGGAGCCCTCCTACGCATCAACTTGTACAATATCCACCGATATTTACATTTTGATCAAAGGTTGATCTGCTACCAAAATTTAGTTTTTGTCTTATCAGGATTTTTATTCAGGTTTACCAGCATATAAGTACTAGAGTTTTGTTGTGAACTATTTCAGGGCTCCTACCACTCCAGGAATTTCTTCAAACTTTCTGCTCAAGGTACATATCATAGTGATCGAAGGTTTTTTTTTTTTTTTTTTTAATGTAAATTAGAAAGCCAAACAACGGTTTTTTTTTTTTTTCTTTTTTTTCCTTTTTTTTGTTTGTTTGTTTTGCATATTGTTTGTTGCTTTGTGTTGAATAGCAATTAATGAAGATGGGAGAGATGTCGGGGTTCCAATTGGGCGTTGTGGGAGCACTTTTTCTTTCGGTGGCTTCTTCCGTTTCTATTGTCATCTGCAATAAAGCTTTGATGAGCAATCTTGGCTTCCCATTCGGTAATTTTCCCTTTTAACCTTTTTTTTTTTCTTTTTTAAATTCAAAGAGTGGGGAATTCAAACTCTAAGAGTGCGTTTAGTAAATGAATTCTGAATTATGATTCTGAATTTTAGTTCAGAATTATTTACAGTGATTTTGAATCATGATTCAGAATCAGTGTTTATTTTGATGATTCTGAATTATGATTCAGAATTTGATGTGATGTGATGTTAAACTAGCTCAAATCATGATTCTAAAATCACTCCCCCCCTCTTGATTCAAGATGATTCAAATTCCTGATTCTGAATCATGGTTTCAGAATTATAATTTGAATCTAAAATCATAAATCATGATTAGAATCATCATGATTTAAATCATCGTACCAAACGAACCATAAACTTTAAATATTTAAAGTACGGATAGTCAACCACATAATTTTCACTAGTTACCGATTTACCCCTTATTTTCTTTGGTTTCTTTTGGGGAATTAAGCCACAACGCTCACTAGTTGGCATCTGATGGTGACGTATTGCACACTTTTTGTGGCACAACGGTTGAATCTGTTTGAGAACAAGTCGATTGAGATGAAGACTGTGGTGCTTTTTGGCCTTCTCAATGGTGTCTCCATTGGTCTTCTCAACTTGAGCTTGGGTTTCAACTCCGTTGGCTTCTACCAGGTTCACTTTGCCCCCCTTCTTCATTTTTCATAATTAGATATAATGCACGACAATCGAATTAATCGAATTATTATACATGTCTTATTTTTATGCACAACGTACTAGTATGACACAGTTTTAAACCATCAGACGGCATCAAAACTATATTATAATGAAAAGGTATTCAAAATTAACGAATCCTCGTGAGTCGTAAAGATCTGATCATGTCCGGACAAAAGCAATGCAACGCCCTAACAAAGAATTTTTCTTTTTCTTTTTTGTTTTTGGTTTGATGTAATTACTTCTTAATACACATTGAGGGTTCTACTCATTTTGCAGATGACCAAGCTTGCCATTATACCATTTACCGTATTACTAGAAACAATTTTTCTGAAAAAGCAATTCAGGTAATACATGCCTACAAAACGTTATATATACATATACATACATGATTAGGTAATATAATTTGCTATTTTATGATTCTTTGCAGCCAAAAGATAAAGTGTTCTCTCTTCCTTTTACTGGTTGGAGTTGCCATTGCCTCTGTAACCGACCTTCAACTCAATTTTGTTGGAACAGTCTTATCTCTTCTAGCCATTGTAACAACCTGCGTTGGACAAATTGTATCCTCCTCTTTTTTTTATTAATTTTCTTTTCTAGATTCTGTTAATTAGCTTTTTGATGAACATTAATTTAATTTACTCACAACATTTAAAAAATAAAAATAAAAATAAAAAATAAGACGAGTTTTGTCCTTAACTAAGTACCGTTGAATTTCAGCTGACAAACACAATACAAAAGAAGCTCAATGTGTCTTCTACGCAGTTGTTATATCAGTCATCGCCATTCCAAGCTGCTATTCTGTTTTTGTCAGGCCCTTTTGTTGATGAGTACCTTACCTCCAAACATGTCTTTGCGCACAAATATGATCCAATAGTTGTGGTATTCTTCTCTACATTCTTTTTTTTCATTCCACTTTTCAAGAGCTCAATAAATAATATTTTGGCATGTCATAAAAATCTGTGTCATAAGTGACCGTTCATTAGTTTAGTAAATATTAGAAGGGAATTGGATTATTTTTCATCGAACCATCTAGCTAATAAATGATTAATAAACACTAGAAACGGAATCAATAGACCTCATTCTTATTATTTTACTTTCATTTCTAATCTCATTACATCCTTTTTACAATTTAGTAAACGTGTTCTGAGATTGTCCTGTTATAATAAAAACTTACAAATAACGTTCCCATTCGGTAAAAAAAAATTCTCATAAATTTCATATTATACCCTGTTGAAAAATATTTTCTGTTGGTGCAGGGCTTCATCATCCTATCGTGCATAATTGCGGTGTCTGTGAACTTTAGTACGTTTTTGGTGATTGGAAAGACATCTCCAGTGACATACCAAGTGTTGGGACATCTCAAGACTTGCCTTGTTCTTGGCTTTGGCTACACATTACTCCATGACCCTTTCACTGAGAGGAATATAATTGGAATATTTATTGCTGTTTGTGGGATGGGACTGTACTCCTATTTCTGCACACAGGAGACCAAAAGGAAACAATCCGGAGACCTCTTAGGCTCTCAGGTAATTTTCTTTTTCTTTCTCTTTCTCATTCTTTAGCAACCCCCCCTTTTTTTTTTTTTTTGGTAGATTGTTTCATTTTATTGCAACATATCAAAAGAAGGGAATGCCAAAAACAAAAAAAGGGTACCTTCGAATTTATGTCACAGAGATTGGAGCTTTGGATTTGTTTCATTCAAATGGCCAATATCAACAAAATGTGGCATAAATTTAAACCACAAAAAAAATTGAGAATTAAATCTGAAGAAGTACAATAATTATGACATGTGCCAATAATTGATTTTTTTTTTTTTTTTTTCATTTTTACCCCCCTCAGATTAAGGATAAGGATGGTGCTCCACTTTTGGGAGTGAAGAGCATGGTTCACCAGGATAAAGATAGTCATGAGGTTAAGAAGTCACCCAAGGACTCTCTTGTTTGAATGATTTATATATGTGCAATGTCTAGCTAGGCTTTGAATTAAAAGAGGTTTCTATAAACTTTCTTTTATTATACTCCTGTGTTTTTCATTCTTAAAGACATGCTAGCTACTGATGGGTGTAAATGAGTTTTGATTCTTTGAAATAAATTAAAATGCAATACCTGCAAATTTTTCCATGAAAAAAAAAAAAAAAAATCCTTTTTGTATTATGTACTTTTCGCGTGGCATTCAAGCGAACATATAAGATATCGTAAATGCTTTTGCACGCATAAATGATAAATCTCGTTTATCAACCAAAAAAAAAAAAAAAAGAATAGCGATCAAAGTATGGCAATTAAAAACGACAGCCAACAGAAATACGTAGAATGTAGACAATGATAACAAAAAAAAAAAACAAAAAGACCAATATATATATATATATATATATATATAACAAACCAACGACAAACGACATCTTTCAAAAAAACTGAAAAACGACATCCAAAATGAAACGACGACAAAATACCACGTTCACCAATCACCAGCCACCTATCTTACTTTTGTTTGTTTCAAAACCATTTTGGCGGGGCGTGGGAGAAAAGGACGTGAAAGTAAAAACACGACAATAGTTTGGAAAACGACGACCAAACTTATTATGTCCAAGACTGTAGACTCGGTCAATGTCAAAGAGCGCCGCAAGTGGCTATAGATACAAAACTACAATCTCGTTCGTTTTGCGGATTCGAGTTTTTAATTTGAGTTGAGATGTGACATTTTTTTAGAGTTTTTAACTGTAGAGAAAAAGTTAAATATGACATTTTTTTAGAGTTTTTTACTGTAAAAACTTAAAACTGAAAACTCAAATCGGTGAAATGAACGAGGCCGACGTACTCTTTTAGGATAAGTTATACGATTTGCCCCGAGCCACAGGATTTATCACAAAATCCTAAACTTGAAATTTAACTTTTTTTCTCTTAAATTTTAATAATTCTTATAAAATTTATCCTTTATTGAAATTTTTTATTACTTTTATTATTGCTATTGGCCTCATTTATGAACCCTAAAGGTCGTTAAGTCAAGTAAATTAAGGAGAAAGTTAGATGTAGTTAAAAAAATAATTACCCACTTTTATATGACTAGGTGAGGAGAAATTAAGTAATTGTTTATTAAATTATTCAAACGACGCTTATTAATTATGTAATACGTATTATTTATGTTAAAAATAATAATAAATAGAGTTTTTTTTGTTGATTTTTACATTTTTCATCAAAAATTTAATAGAAAGAGAAATTTTGTAAGAAGTACTATAGGAGAGAAAAAAAAAGTTAAAAATTAAAATATAGAAACATTTTATAATAAGACTTATAATTTAAGAGACAACCCTCTAATTTATCCTACTATTTATCATCGCCTTTAGTCAAAGCACTAAAAAAACAAGCCCAATCCTTTTCATTTGATATTAGTTTTATTCTTTTAGAGGAAAAAAAAGTGAACATTGAATTCAAATTGTACTGCTATAAAGCGTTCTGACATTGGGAAATGGGAATTGATTTTGGTTTGGCAGAAATTGTTGTTTTCCTAGAGTTCCAATATCCTATAACTTATAGCTATAGGGTGTCATCCCTGTCAAATGGTCGTATGACTTTCAAAACTTGAGAAATTAATATAAAATTGAAGACTTAATATGCAAGCAACTTGCTAATATATATTTAGCAAAAGGAAATTAATGATTGTTTGTCCAATTTATGCCAGCTAATACAAACGGACTAAAGAAGATTGGCAATTTCACGTGATCAGAATATGTATATATAGAGCTTTATTGGTTGCCCAGTAGCAATGGTAGGTAAGACTAAGCTAACTCAATTATGAACAGATTTAAATGAAGAATATCCCTTAATCATAGCTGATAGCTCAATTGATATTTACACAAATTAAAAAAAAAAAAAGACATGACGTATTGGTTCATGGATTGAGAATCATGATTCATAATCATTCTCGTTTTACGTATATTTTTTATGAGAGAAAACACTATAAAGAATCATAAATCATGATTCAAAATCAAGAACGAATATAGAAAATAAACGTATCGGCAGTAAGAAGAAATGTTGTTGGGTATTGTTTCTCTTTTAGCTAAAGCAAAAAGGCGTGATTGACGACAAACCAGTAAAAATCACTAAAAAGCATCGCTAAATTGCTGATTTTACTTTTGGGTCAAAAAGAGGTATAAAATTTATCTTTAGGGTAAAATGAATTCTTTCTCTAAGCTTGTAATTAGTAATTGCCTTCTAAGCTTGTAATTAGTAATGTCATGTGCATGAGGAGAGCCGCGCAAATGTGGATGTTGCTTTAATTATTCAAGGTAGCTCCTTTTTTAACGGGCAAATGGAAAACGAAAAGGAAAAAGAGACAAAGGACTCGTGCATGGTTATATAGGATGCTTACAAATGGTTGACAAACGAGATAATATATAGAGGAAAAAAAATCATTTTGATATGTGTTACAACGAAATATATTTTTGGTATCCTATGGTTTTTTTTTTTTATAAGAAATCTTTACGATGGAAAAAGTTATTTTTCTCCACCGGTGAGGACAATTATTTTTGACTTTGGATTAGTTTAACGGTTAGGATCTATGTAGATATGTATTAAAAATTTACAGTATGCCACACACAACTACTCCTGCTGCAGATTTAACTGTTGAAAAATTAAGGATTAATTTCAAAAATTCCACTTTGGCCCCTAAATTTTAAAACATAACATCCGTTCTCCTTAAATTTTATTCAGTTAACAAGTTTTCCCCTTCTGTTGCAATGAGTGACGTAATTGCCACGTCTCACTTATTTAGTGAGAATTGAAAACGCAATTACGCTTAGACCATCCTAATCAGATAATTTCCCATTTTATTGAAAAAATTCACCATCTTCGTTTTTCATTTTTCTTCTTTTTTTTTCCTCATTTTGTTCCCCAAGTTTTCCTCACTCCCTCTCTTTCACTTCCACATCTCTCTCCCTCTCTTCCCTCAAACCTTGTTTCATCGAAGAAAACGATGGCCTGGCCTCCCTGGCCAACATGGAGGCTGGATTCTCCGGCAGCCACCACCACGACCAGAACCACGCGTTTTAATCCCGGCCTCTGTATTACTCGTGGCGGAGCAGCTTCAGGAGCCTTCCGATGACGTTTTATTCTTCATTCTCTTCTTCTCCATCATTGTTTTCGCCCAAATCTAGCTACGCGAGGTTCTACGACGCCAGGTTTGAAGAGCACTAGTCCCATTTTCTCGAGGCTTGCTTCCTTTGCAAGAAGCCTCTCACTGATAACAAGGATATTTTCATGTACATGTTGGATTTCTTTCCAAGTTTTGTTCTTTTCGTGTTTGATTTTGAATCTTTAGGGAGAGACGAGTTAGAGAGAGAAAGTTTGTTGGAGAGAGGCATAGAGATGATTAATGGTGATGAAGAAAACCATGAATGTTATTTGTAGGCTCTGTATCTGGGTTTGATTGTGAGCAGTTTGTGGTGCAAGTTAATTTACGATAATACCCTCTTCAGATGGGTCATGTGCCGGACACGTAGCGAATTTCGTCACTGATTGTAACATAAAGGGAAAACTTGTTAATAGAACAAAGTTCGGGGGGGATGGATGTTACATTTTAAAATTTGAGGGGTAAAGTGTTATAAGGGTCATAGTTTGGGATGAATTGTTGAAATTAATCTAAAAATTAATCCAACATAAAAATATAGTCCTCACCGGTGGAGCGAATTAGCTTACTCCACCATAAAATACTCCCTTTTTATAATATTAAAATGGTACCTTAACATGTTATAAAACTTTTTTTTTGGTATCCTAAACTCCTTTTTGTACATAAAATGACAAATTTACTCTTATTAATATTTTTTTATTTGGCTTATTCAAATTTCTTTTTAATAGATAATAACAAACAATGATATCTTGTTGCCAGAACTGTTATTCATTTAATAAATGGAACTTTGACTGAGAAAATATTTTTAAAAATTTAAATAAAAATTAATTTTTTTAAAACGTTATAGCTAAATGTTTAAATTGTGATTCCAAACAGAAACCTAACGGACCATAAGTAACAAAATCTGACAATTCTTTATGTATTAGATTAGAAAATAGCTAGGGAGGGAAAAACAAATTAACTAAAGTTGCATGTCTATGCATGCATGCACGTTTCATTAAGATATATATATATATATATATGTATATATATATATATGCATAGCATTTTGTGGAGCGTGGCATAGCGACACAATATTCAATTGATCACCTAAAAGATGCTAAGTGGTCCTAGGTCGTATGTATTTGAATACTTTCGAGGAAAACAAGAGAGTCAGTAAGTGGAAACTTGTGGTGGTAATTGATGTGTGCAATTGCATGCCTTTCTTGGTGTTTCCTTTTACACAAACACCTTTTTGTGACCAAAAAGAAACAAAAAATAATAATAAAGCTTATATTATATAGTTATGGTTCTGGACGGTGACTTTGATTGTACATGCATGCCGAACAACAATTCGCATTGGTTTTTATCGTATACAAAAACATGTGAAATTATACGTTACAATTCATGTGCTTTCCGAATCCCTATGTGAAAGAACACCTGTTCTATACTGACATATACACAGGCCTCGTTCATTTCACCAATTCGAGTTTTCAGTTTTAAGTTTTTACAGTTAATTAAAAGCTCTTAAAAAATGTCACATATAACTTTTTCTACTACAGTTAAAAGCTATAAAAAAATGTCACATCTCAGCTCAAATTGAAAACTCGAATCCACGAAACGAACGAGGTCATAATGTGCACTACATATATATATATGATATTTGCATAGTGTCCCAATACATTGATACATACACATACGTTGATAATCCGGCACATGTTACACTTTTTATTTACCTGTATAATATCATTTGTGCGTTCGTGTAATACTCATTTTATCTAAGTATAATACTCAATAATAGATTATCTATCACCGTATTATTAGATGTGAGATGCTAACGTATGACATCGAATTTAAGACCATGTCTATATATACATATATTGTGCACCTAAAATTATGAGAAATTAATACACACTTTCTATTGGAAGTGCCGGCTAATGAATGTGGTGGCATCGAGTTTAAGGATCTCAGATTACTTTGAATATAATAATTAGTGGTAGCATTTTTTTTTTTCTGAATAATTGTTAATTATAGCATGGGTTGATAACTAAGAAAAGTTGACGGAGTTTAGGAAATTTCATTAACTGAGGGAATGCTTAGTTAGAGGATTCAAATTATGATTTGAATCATGGTTCATAATTCACTATAGTGTTTTATCTCACAAAAAATACACGTAAATAAAAAATGATTATAATCACATGATTTTAATTCATAAATTAAACGTCTTCTGAATGTTGAACTTGAAGAAGAGCCACCTCGGCCCCTTGAATGCTTAAGAGCCAGATGTTTTCTTTTCCCTTCTGTTCCTGATCAGAAAAGCCAAAAGTTTAATTTATTTTACAACTAATTCATTAATTTATTTCACAACTAATTCATTCGCACGTGACAACATCTCATAAAAGAACATAGTAACTTATTAAATTAAGGATATTCAAACAACCACTCCACCAGAATGACAGAAACAAATAAATAAACGGACATGTTTTTTTTTATTTCTTCCTTTTTTAGGTGCTAAATAAGGTGATTATAAAAATACCATAATCTATAATAGGATATAGTAGGATATAGAAAGAAAGAAAGTAAAAAAATAAACGTTTGTTTCCTATATTCGTCCCTGATTCTGAATCATGATTCAGGATTTTCTCCAGTGTTTTCTCTCACAAAAAATACACGTAAAACGAGAATAGTTTTGAATCATAATTCTGAATACATAAACCAAACATATATAATCAATTTTGTAAAATATGATAATGATCACATTCCAAAAATATAGTAAAAAGCTCCCAAATTCCCAATGAGTAACCTAATAGAGAGTGAAAAAGATTTGTAGAATTCTTACTATATAATAATGATCCAATTCAATGATCTTCTGTTTATGAGGTTCCTTTTTTCCAAAAAAAAAAAAAAAAAAAAAAAGTTTGCTTCTTACTTACGTCACCGTATCAACTGTTCAAGATGAACAAACCGCTTCTTCATAGTGGGCTCACGCCATTGCTCTAACACCAAGAGAAACAAACTTAAATAAAAAAAATAAAAAAAAAAGAAGAAAATCAAGAAAATCAAGAAAATCTAAATTCTCTTAACTTTTTTTTTTAATCATTCTAAAAAAAAAGAAGAAAATCAAGAAAATCTAAATTCTCTTAACTTTTTTTTTTAATCATTCTCTTAGAATTTCATTAAGTTGATATGTGATAGAAGAAAGTGGCAGCATATTTATTTTGGAGTAAATTATATTATTGCACCTCAAATTTTTTCGCATAGTGAATTATGAACTTTCAATTTTGATAAGACACATCTTGAACATTAAAACATAATCAAATTACAAGTTTATTTTAAGTTTATTTACAATAATAAACGTATCACTTTTTTTTTTAATCTGCAATAAACATATCACTTAATTCATCCATTTGTTAATAGAACACAGAGGATTGTTTTTAACGTGCACAGGGAGAAGAGAACCTTATCTTATAATAAGAAAGCATAAATCCATTTACTCTCATGATAAAAAGTCATTCTTCTATATTCTCTAAGAAAATACCTATAAAGGAACACATTCTTTTTTATTTAAAAAATATTTTACATATAAATATATGGAGCTTTTTTAATAGGATTAAAAAAAATGAACCGTTGATAATTTTTTATTTTTAAATATATATTAAAAATTACTCATTTTATTTATTTTTTAATTTAATGTGATTCTGATATGATATAACAATTATAAATTGATACTTTTAATGAGATCAATCCATAAAAAAAACTCCCCCGAAAGTACCATTTATGCCCATTAATACTTCGAGAAAAAAAAAAGTGTATATGTTTTTTGTTTTAAACTTTTTTCATACGGCGCAAAATATTCGCATAGTTCTTCTTTTTTATATTTTAAATCTCGTGATAACAACTGCACTGACTAAAAAATCTCCGGTGTCTTGTATAAATCACTAGTGTTTCTCACTAGTCGTTTCTAGAGTTTAGTTTCCCCGAAATACCCTCGGCTACTGCAAGCACTAATTCCACGTAAATTTTGTAACAAACTTTTAAATAAAATAAATATTTAAAGGCTTTTCAAAAAAAGAAAAGAAAAGTAAAGGGTACTTTTGAGAATTGAGTTAAGAGGGACGTAGAGGACAAGATTTTGATGCTACTGTGTCTGTTTCTTGTGACATACTTTAGGAAAAATTCTAAATACGAGATAGTCATTAATCATATTGCAAATCTTGGATTGATAACATATTTGTTAATTTTTTCTATTGAACATATTTATTAATTGTTATAGGTTGTGATAAATGGAAATATTCCTAACGTGTTTAGGTAATTACATCTTAGCAATCATATAAGTCTCCGACGACTTTATAAAGAAGAAAAAAAGTTTCCGACGACTAATGTTATTTATATACCCACCTTCTTTCTTTCTTTCTCATTTTCCAAAGTTAATAAAAGTTTATAAAAATGAATTAATGTGTCATTAACTTTAATAATAAAAAAAAGAAGACGACGCATTTATGAAAAAACACTTCAACAACTTAACATTAATGTGTAGGTCATGGTTTCCTTAGAAAATAATTATAGGTCATAGAACATTGAAGGATAAATAATACTTGCAATAATAAATAAACAAAAAAAAATGTTTCTTCAATGAACATAAAGTGCGTGTTTAGAACCGTTTTTAAAAAAGATTTTCACGTATTTTGAGAAGTGAAAAATAAAAATAAAAATAAAATGACGTTTATTTAGTAAATATTTTAAAAATAAAAAATGAAAACGAAAACAGTGAGAATGATTTTTGTGAAGGAATTAGAAAATAATTAAAAGTTGTTTTCATTTATGTTTTTATTTTTTAGTACTTATCAATAATATTATAATATATTAATTAATAAACACGATTTTACTTTTTTATTATACTCAAAACAATCTCTTAAAAAACCAACCAAACGTAATTTTAAAATCAGTCATAGAATGATTCTCAAAACAATTATTTTGAAACTAATTATACACGCACCTAAAAACTTTTCCTCAAAGAATAATAAATTTGAAAAAAAAAACTGGCTCATATTACATTTTTAATCAATAATCTGAGGCCACAAAACGAAACCATTACCATCAGTTTCTTAAGCAGATAAGTAATTTAGGTGGGATAAAACCTTCCTAGGAAAAACTAATGAGTTCGAATAAGTTAACTGTACATTAAAAAATACACAAAAGACAAGAAAACAATAAATAAGTGAAAAATACTAATAAAAAAATATGAAAATGAACCAACAAATAAATGAAAGGCAATCAGAGAATTTGTCCGCCATGGAAAAAAAGAAAAGAAAAAAGTGTTACACTAGCAAAGCAGGGACAATAAAGTAATTGGAGTTGAATAATTTGCCTGGCAATCTTTGTCTCTTATAAAGCACCAGTTCGGTTTCTTTTCTTTAACAGAGAGAAACGTAGAGAGAGAGAGTTTTCTACAATTCCAAGGATGAAAGCAGTGATTCTCTGTATTCCTTAGCTGGATTCAGAGAATCACCATCTTCGTCTTCATCTCCATCTTCGTCGGAAATCCGAGCAATTCACACGGAGAGGATCAGAATCCCGCTTCTTTTGCATGAATTTTGAGATTCTTTGAGAATTAATCGGCGGTTTTTTTTTTTTTTGGTTGTTCGAGATTGTTCGAAATGGAAACTTCTCAGACCGATGGAAGAATGGAGGGATGGCTGTACCTCATTCGCTCCAATCGGATTGGGCTTCAGTACTCGAGGAAGAGGTACTTCGTTCTCGAAGCTCACCATCTCAGAAGCTTCAAGTCTGTTCCCGCTTCAAACGATGAGGTTCGTCGCTTTTTCTTTCTTTTTCTTCTCCATTTCTTATTGCTTCTGTGTTCGAATTTAAATTCCGGTTCGTATTAGACTGCTAATGCCTTTTCAATTCTGTGAACTTTTTTTTTTTTTTTTTTTTTTTTTTTTTTTTTTTTTTTTTGATTTGCTTTTGGGGGTTTAAAGTGGAGTATTTTGTTCAAGTGCCGATTATCAATCTATTCAGTTGAGATTGCTTTTTTTTTTTTTCTTTATAGTCTGCGTATCGTCGAAAACTGTGTTTGGAACTGAGCTGTGATCAAGTTTCGATTTAATATATTTTGTTTCTGTATTTGCGTGTATATAACTTAGTATGCATAAAGGAAGTTTCTTGTTTTAACGGCATAATGCGGAAGAGTTATGAGTCAATAGTCATCTACTATTTGAAGATGTTTGGAGGTATTGAACACTGATAATGCACTTATTTTCTAGTAGAGGAAAAATTTTCCAACTGACTGGCGAATTTTTTATTATTAGGAATTTCTTAGGGTGGTACATTTTTTAGTGGTAATGATCTCCTGTAAGATATCGACAATGCTACTATTTATATTCAATCAAATTGCGAAGAGTTTCTCGATATTCATATGCAAATTTGGATGCCTTCGGAGAGGGTTAATGAGGGTAAGGGAAATACTTTCAGCTTCGAGTACTTTTTTTCTTTTCTTTAAGTTCGACCTGGTCTGAATGTTGAAAATCTGAAAATAAGAGAGCGGCATTAAAGCTTCAAGGGTTACTTTTAGCCAGCTTTTACCTTTTCTTTTCTTTTTCTCTTTCTTGTAATTCTTCTTTCAACATAAATGTCGTGCAGATTTTGGTGATGACTTTAATTAAATTTTGGTTGAATGGTACTTCTATAAGATTTTGGCTGAAAATTTTGTACTTTTGATTTCCTGTGATCTTCATATTAAAAACTTTTTTTTTTTTTTTTTTTTTTTTTACTTTTCTTTCTTTGTCATGGACGTTGCCTTAAAAAACAATTTATAATAACCATTTTTGCACCATCAACTATTGAATTAGTAATATTATATTATTATGCCACAGAGAGGAGCAGGAACCTCAAATTATGATTTGGTTTATATGGACTTTGAATGGAAATGTGGCCCTTATATTTTTTCCTTTCTGCTTTTTCATCAGACTTTGTTTTGGTAGAAAAATGACATAGATGGCTTATCAATGTTTTGTAATTTCAGGAACCGGTTAAAAGTGCTATTATAGATTCTTGCATTCGTGTTATGGACAATGGTCGGGAGAGCATTCATAGAAAAGTATGGACTTCATACAATGTAGCTCTTATAGTATTAATGTATCTGTTTTTCATGGTTCCTGATTTCATTAGTATTGGCAATGCGTTTATAAAAACCAATTATTTTTTTTGCAATGTCAGGTCTTCTTCATATTCACTCTCTATAACACTTCCAATCACAACGATCAGCTTAAGGTGCCGTAATCTTTCTGTCCGAAGTGTGTTGTTTTTCTATATTTGCGTCGATATTCTCATTAGTATTACTCTGTAACTTTCTTTCATTATTGTGAATTTTTTGTTTGGTCGTAATAGTTAGTAATTTTTATTTTTTATTTTTTTTTATTTCTTAGTTGGGGGCAAGCAGTCCTGAAGAAGCAGCAAGGTGGATTCATTCCTTTCAAGAAGCAGCTTTACAGGTTTGTTAAAGATCATTTTGTTAGCCTGCAGGAAAGCTAATTATACTTGGTACTCATCCCAGTGTTTATGAATATATGCAGGGTGGTCCAGATATAGGAGACAATATTATAAATTGTTCAAAGAGAAGATGGCAATCATTTAGGTGCAATAGCTTATTACCAACTATTCTTGTTTAACACGTGTAACTAACCGTTTCCTTGTTCACCAAATGTTGTAGTTTTCCACTTTGACTTGATGTGACTTCCAAGTAAATTTCTTACGGACATTTATCTTTATGTACTTTGTGTATTATATTATTTTATTTTCTGTCAGGATGTCATATCGTTTTACTCATATCTTTTTTGCATGTAGATTGGGTGGACCTAGCCGGTCAAGTCGTATTAATTCCATAGACTGGACTATATGTCCTTCTACGCAAGCAGATCCAATGACATCCGATGTTATTGCTCCTTCGCCGTGGACGATATTTGGATGTCAAAATGGTAAGAAGTAAAAAGTTATAGGCTGTTGGAGGTAGCTAAAGTTCTTTTCTCAAAATCATGGGTGTTATGCAGGTCTATGATCTTTCTCCTCTGTTTTTTTAATTATTTTTTGTTAGGTCTACGGTTATTTAAAGAAGCAAAAGATAGGGACTCTCATGGAAAGGTTGGTACTTGACCGGTGCTTTGTTTGCCATTTTTTGGTTCTAACAGACATTTTACTAACATGTTCCTATCTTGAGCAGTGGGATGATCATCCTGCTATAATGGCAGTGGGTGTGGTTGATGGAACTTCAGAAGCAATCTTCCAAACACTTATGTCTCTTGGTCCCTCAAGATCACAGTAAGTTTTTTGAGCAAACCTTGATGATATCCTGAGATATCAAAGTTGAAGTTGTAACGTACTTGTCTGATGAAATTTGAGTTAGGTTACGTAGCACCACTAAAACATTGTAGCCGTAGCTTTCCTTTTCCTTTGAAAATTTTATTACAGATAAAAAAAAAATCCTAGTCATGGGACACAAATGTGGTTAACGACTGCTTCATGCCTCAAAGAAGGTAAATTTGTATGTGTTGCTAAGTTAGCAACAAAATAACAAGGGAAACACAAATCACTTGCTGCCAATTCCCAAGCTAGATATTTAACTGTTGCTTTTCATTGTAATGCTACCAGATAGCCTCGGACCTAGTCTCGTGCAGGAAAATATAGATAGAGATAAAAGCAAGTCTAGTATGAATCTTTCTATAAACTACAACGTCAATTAATTCTACTAGATTATATCCCTGCTAGTCTGTAAGGAGTATGCTTCTATCTTTATGTCCAGAAAATTCTATTGATAAAACTGAAAATAATTGTACACATGAACAAATATACTTATGTTACCATGTTCAGCCTAAACGTATTGGCTGTTGTATTAGCTTTTGGGACCGATTTCTGGCTTATTCCCTGTTTGGTTCAAGCTTATTCGAAAATTGGCAGCCAAGTTTTGTTGTTGCTGAAGTTAACTTTACTAATTGGCTTGTAGGTGGGACTTTTGTTTCTACGAGGGCAGTGTGGTTGAGCACCTTGATGGTCATACTGATATTATTCACAAGCAGTTATACAGTGATTGGTTACCATGGTCAGTCTCACAGTCCACTGGTTGTGATTTAATTTCTGAGGCATTTGATCTATGGTTTAATGTCTAATTGCTTTCTCATATTTTGCAGGGGAATGCAACGAAGAGATCTATTGTTGCGACGCTATTGGAGAAGAGAAGACGATGGGACATATGGTAATAAGTCTTCTGAGGAAGTATTTTCCAAGTATTTTTTTAACAGACCTAAGCTCCTTCGATTAGAAATTGACTTCTTTACGTTTATTTTGTTGCAGTTATTCTCTATCACTCAGTCTCTCACAAGAAGTGTCCCCCTCAAAAAGGCTATGTCCGTGCTTGCCTTAAAAGTAATGTATGCTTAGAAATTGAACTATACTGGACATTTTTTGTTTCTCATGCTGCATGTTTTCTCGTTAAAAATGATATGTTACATAATAATGTTGGTTTTTTTTTACCGGCAATTAATAAGATTGAATATATCCTACCGGCTACCTCAATATTCTTGTACAGAATTTTTTATTTTTATGCTTGTATTCACATCAAGTCAAATGCAATATTGCATTCTTTGCAGGTGGAGGATATGTTATTTCACCAGTGAACCAAGGGAAGCAATCAGTTGTGAAGCACATGCTTGCTATTGATTGGAAATTCTGGAAATCTTATCTAAGGACTTCTTCGGCTAGGGCTATAACCATCCGAATGCTTGGAAGAGTTGCTGGTAAACTTCAAGTATTTGAAGAATTTAAAACGTATTGCAATAATCACGTATCTCATGAAATTTATTCATTTAATTAAAGTTTTGTTTTTTTTCCTCCATTTTTTTTTTTTGGGAATCACAGCATTACGGGAGTTATTTAGAGCAAAACAAGGTTATCATTCGTCTGAGTATTCATCTGGTGAGTTGACAAGAAATATTGGGGCGAATCAAAATGAGGTGGACGACATGTTTGATGTTCGAACAGTGACTGGGGATGGAAGCAGTATGGGAAATATAGCAGAAGAAGTAGATAAAACACCTTCAGAACATGCGAGCCTTGTCAGCCTGAATGATGCAGCTGACGAATTCTTTGATGTTCCCGAACCCCCAGATTATGATCAATCAGAAGCTGATTGGGTTCCTGAATTTGTTCCAGAACAAAATTTACAGGTAAAAGCAGTTGATAGATAGTTTTGTACTTCCCGCAATAGAAACGAGTTAGATTTGGGATTGAAGGATCTTCTGGAATAACCATACTAGGTGTCTGTGAGCAAGTAGAGGCGAGGAGGAAAAACTACATGCATTACTTCTTAGAATTATTCTGAATAGGTTACGACAATCTTTAGACAAGTGTAACCTTAAAACAAAAGGAGAGAAATGCAACAAGGAAATAGTACAATTCTGCTTCTAAGAGAATAGGAAAATTACAGGAAAAAGAAACAAGAAATACAATCAGATCAAATAAAAAATAAATAAAAAAGTAGCGAAAGAAACAGCTAAGCAAACTCTGCAAAATAGAGAGAGTGAAATTGGAAGTTAACTGTTCCGAATGTTGATTTTTCAGAATTGACTAGTGCACAGATAAGTAAACTTGCCTGCAATTGTAAAATGATATGTTTCAGCCAAAGTCATTGGAGAAGTGCAGTTAGAATGCTTTCCGACTAATAGAATCATTCTATCTTAACAAATAAAATTCTTCGTATAGTTTTTTGGTTTTTTTTTTTTTTTTAAATGATCATAATCAGCAAATGAATGGTTTAGTACATGGTTGAGCTTGGTTTAAACATTTGATTCCTCCTTGCTCCACGGGCTTCAACATGCACAGTAATTGTCTATAAGCTGTAAACATTTGACCCAAGATGCACTGTGGTTTTAACGTAAATTTTGAACTTGGTTTCTCTTCCAATTTTGAACTTGGTTTTAACGTAAAATTGACCCAAGATGCACTTCTTATGGTTCCAAAATCCTATGAGAGGCCACTAAAGCCACTAGTGTTTTTTTTTTCCTTCTTTTTTTCTTTCCCTATGCTTCTTTGCACTGCAAAAATAAATAAATAAAAATAAGAAATTACTGCTTCCATCCTTTTCATTTTTGTTCTTCATGGCTTAGACCTATTTTATTTTACTCTTTTTAATTTTTGTTCTTCGTAGCTTAAACCTATTTTATTTTTACCCTGATTTGAGCAATCGCATAAACACATGTTTCTTGTCTGTTTTTCTAACTTGGTTTCTACTGTTTGTTGCAGGACGTACGCCACCCAAAGTTGTCAACTGCTGCTGGTTTTGTGAAAAAATTGCATGATCTTGCAAGTCAGTTTCTCAACAATTATGCTTACTTTTCTTTTAATGGCTTATGTTACTCTTCCTTAATAGTGTGCTTTCTATCACATAAAATATTAATGGAGCTAGAGGTCACTTGTTACAGTTCAGAAGAGGGGCTATGTAGACTTACAAGAGATGGCCATGGAAGACAGCGTATCATGCTGTTACGGGTCAACTCTTCCAAAGGATCCAACTTGTGCTTTGCCTTGCAGTTGGACAACAACAGATCCCTCTACTTTCCTTATTCGTGGAAAGAGTTATTTGGAGGACCGTCTGAAGGTATCGGCTTTTTTCCTTAATTCTGTTTCTCATGCCAACAAATGTAGGATTTTTTTCCTGCCCTGGAAAAGATCATGTTAGGCTTATATTCAACGGTTGACCTATGTTTTTTCTTTTTTGCTCAAGTACAAACACCAAACATGCCGCTAAAGAGAACCAAATGTAGTAACCTGTTATTACCTGCCCCAGTCTAGATGAGACAATAATTATATTTTGTAATTGGTTACTCACGTGTAGATACCATTTATGCTGCTAAAGAATCTTCTCTCGCCATACTGATTCATACTATAGGTCATATTTCTTTCTCATGTATGATTTTTTTCCTTTCTAGGTTAAGGCAAAGGGCACCTTAATGCAAATGGTCGGTGCTGATTGGCTAAGATCTGACAAGCGGGAAGATGATCTTGCTGGCCGTCCTGGAAGCATTGTTCAGGCAGGGTTCCTCTTGCTCCCCATTATTTTCTTTGCACTTTCTCTCTATATTTCCCTTTCTATAATTGCAAGTTAATTTTGTTGTTTTTGAATTCCCAGCCACTCATTAAACTTCATACACTCTTGGTTGTTGAGCTTTATTGTTCTACAGTTTAAAAGTTTTTCTTCTGCAGAAATATGCAGTACAAGGAGGGCCGGAGTTTTTCTTTATTGTGAACATTCAGGTAAATGACAGCAGTTTGTGATGGAATTACTCTTATTGCCTTCATTCTAGAAATACTCAATTCATGTACTATGTCCTCAGGTCCCAGGTTCAATGACTTATAGTCTAGCACTGTACTATATGATGAATACTCGATTAGAAGATGCGCCCTTGCTAGAGAGTTTTGTCAAGGGGGATGATGCATTTAGAAATTCAAGGTTTAAGCTCATACCATACATATCTAAGGTTGGTACAAGTAATACATATCCAGCAAATTATACTTTAAGAGCGGAGCTGCATGAAATTACTACGTTTAAGAGGAGTTGGTGGTTGTTTGTGCTCAATTCCTGTTAAAATATGCCCAGCACAAGCATACAATATGAGTGATAGTTGTCACCATTTGGTTTTCTCTGTACTTTAATTCCATAAATTGACGACATTATCTATGTTTCACATACTCCATCTCTTGTAATGTATGGTCCATGGGTCTTAAATCAACACTTGATTCCCCAGGGTTCATGGATTGTTAAGCAAAGCGTGGGGAAGAAAGCATGCCTCATTGGTCAAGCGCTTGAAATAAATTATTTCCATGGGAAAAACTACTTGGAGGTAAATTTTCTCAAGTAACAGCTCTTTTACTGTGAATATACATATGTTAACTTGTGGTTTTTATAATGTTCTATTCGTCTTCATGTTATTTGATTACTTTTGACTTTTTGGACGATGGTCTACAATGTCTATAGGAGGGAAATTGCTTTTTTCTTAACTGTGCATATTTCACTTTGATCCACGAGTTTTGAGATAGTTTGAACTATTACTTTTTTCGTACTAAACGGGTGGTAGTGTGCCATATAGATGGATGTAGAAAAAACCATTGAAAGCAACTCATAAAATTGTAGGAATATAAGGGGACTTGGTTTGGAGTGTTGTGCTGTGATGTGATGATTAAGACACTTTAGACACATCGGCAGCCGACTTCTAAATCTAAAATCACAGAAAAATTATATATACTGTACTTCACTATTGAGCATTGTTCTGTTACTGTGATTGATGCTAATTCTGAACTATACTCAGCTTGGTGTCAATATTGGGTCATCAACGGTTGCAAGGGGTGTGGTTAGTCTTGTTCTGGGGTACCTTAGCAATCTGGTTATCGAGATGGCATTTCTGGTACAGGTAGAGCAACCTTCTATTTTCAACCGTATGAGACGGTTCTTCATTTGTTTCATTTATACCATATTTTATTCTTTTTCTAATTTAAAAGTCACAAACATATATTAATCTGCTATACCTCATAAATATTAATTTATTAAGCTTTACAGTTTCTAATTTAGCACCGTTTAGTTTATGAAACCTGAGTTTCCTTAAAACAATTTAAAGTTACAAACAAGTATTAATCTCATAACTCTTCTCTTCTTCTTGCTCAGGCAAACACACCGGAAGAGCTCCCGGAGTATCTTCTCGGAACCTGCCGCCTTAATCATCTTGACGCATCAAAGTCAGTTCTAGTGAGGGACTGATTATATCCCCAACTCAAGCAAAAACATGATTATACCCCAATTTTATACCCATTGGAAGAATGACTATCTCCCCAATTCATGATTAACCCAGAACCGGGAGGTCATATATAGACTTAAAAGGTATATCTGAGATCTTTGTGATCTGCAACCATATTTGCAGAACTCATTCTTTGATTCAAAATTGAAATTGGCTGGAATTCATGTTGCTGTAGATATCATTAGGATGGATAATTTAATCAACCTTGTAAAGATGCCATTCTCCACTAGTGTTATATTTTCAAAGTTAGATTTGTGGTTTGTTTACCTTTTCTATGATGTACTGTTTGTTTCCGTTAAGTTTCCATTCCATGATCATATAATATCAGAAACAGAAAAGTGGCCTTTTGTGTGCATGTTTGCTGCCAATTATGAAATGGCACAAATAATCAAAGCCATGGAATTGGAAAATACAAAACCAGTCAGTGGGTGGTCAGTGGGTGGGGTCTACCTGTTGGACAAACAAAATTTATTGGAGATAGTGGTGGATCTCAGAGCATGTTAAAGCATTGAATATTTTACTGCCTTAATTCAGTATGTATATGAATATATGAATTTATATTCTCACTGAGAATAAAATAAAAATTCAAGAGTAGAAAAATCTGCAGACCACCTTGTGCAATGCACATAGGGGACACCTTGTGGCTTGTGACCTGTGTCGCACTGCAACAATTAAAAAAAGAAAAAATAACAGACCGAAGGGCATACTATTTTGGGGGTATTATGGTAATTGTGTTACACACATAATTTCAACGTCACGTTGACCCATGCTATTTAACCATTGAAAATTGCAAGCTGAACCTGGACCCTCTTTTCCACATTCTTTGTGCATTTCAAAATCACGAATTTCCCGATAGCACACATTATTGAATTGAGGGTCATTATATGACAGGATCATGTTTAATACCGACTCACGCTTTGTTTGATAAGAGGAAAAGAAGAGAGAATGAAAAAGAAAACACAGAGAAAGAAAATGTAAAGAAAATGAAAGAAGTTGATTTTTTTTGGTATTGTTTGGTATGATGGGAGCAAAAAAAAATTGCAATAGGCTAAAAAGCAAGGAAATTAATTATTGCTCCATGCTACTTAAATTTTAGATAAAATTATTTTGATAGATTTTGTTATAGCGAAATATCTTATTAGACAGATGAAATTATTTTGATATTCTGAAAAATCTTATTGGACAGCGTAAATAGTACAGAGCAATAAAAAATTTTGCTTTTTTTTTGGCTCTGAATAAAAAATTTTGCTTAGTTTAACGTGTTGTTAGACAGAAAATGGCTTTGGTTGAGGCAAAAAAGTAGCTTTGTAAATGCAAAACCGATCCCAAATTCCCAGTTTTTACGTCCGCGAGAACAAGCAAAGCCAATTCTATTACCATTTTGCCACCTTCAAAGTTTTTTCCGCTAGTCAACCCGCTGCGAAGTTAGGCCAATGCAATAACGGATTACGACACAAATCGACAACAACATTCAACTTCCACGCGCCACTTTCAGTACCTTCGCTTCGTCGTCGTTTTGAAAGTCAAACTCCGACACTCAAAAAAATAAGTAAAAAAACAAAAAAAAAGTCTCCGACTCTCCAATGAAAGGCCGAAAAATGAAAAATCCCCTGCACAACAGGGACAAGAATATCTAGGAAAGAAGATTGTCGTTTCCCGGGAAAATCCAACCCACAACATCCTTTTCCACGAGAGTAAAAAGAGGGCGCTGTTTGGTCGGCGAGAAAATTTTGAAAAAAAGGTGGGAGAGTGAGCGAGCGGGCGGGCGGGCGGGCCGGCGAGCGGAGGACACTCAGTTCCTTCGGGATCTCTGGAAGGTTCTGGAAAAGAGTGGGACCTCATTGATCGCGAGGCCTGTCTGCTTTTCCCCAGGCACCGATTTGGCGGAATTTATGAGCACCAAATCCTCCTAACATAACTGGTAGGCCTAATCGAATTTCCTTCCTTTCCTTTTTGTTTTCGGCTCTTTTGATCGGACCTGTGTTTTGAGCTTTTTTTATTATTTATTTTTCAACTTTAAAGTTTCGTTGTTGTTTGTGGTATTTCGCGGATTCTCATTTCAGGTTGGTCATTTGCGTTGTTTAAGGTTTTGGTGTTTTATTGATATTGAGAATTGAAAAGATTAGCAAAAGTTTCTGGCATTTCAATCGCGTGACGTTTTCCTTGCTCATAATTGCTTCCGATCAATTAACACTCCCATAGAGGAATTGTCTTTGAAATTTTCCCTCGTAATCCTAACATCCGTTTTGAATTGCGTTACTTTTTTATGTCGTTTGACAATATATATTCGTTGCTTCTTGACAGTGCTTCTATGGATCCTGCTAAAAAATTTTCTTTGCTGCTGTTGTTTCTGGGATTTGGTATGTATTAGCTGAATTTAATTGACATATGGCTTTTTTTTTTCTTTTTCTTTTATAAGTTTCACTTTTCAATCAGTGTTTTTGGACTCCTAAAAGATTATATTTTTGTATAATGTCTAAAAAATATATGTATATATTTTATTTCTAAACTACTGGATTATTCTTTGTTCTGCATTCTTTTTCGTTATGTTTATCTCCCATTAGGATTAAGTTATTGGTTATTTTTTATTCCTTTTTTTTCTCCCCCAACACTTCGACAGTTTCCGTATGGGTGAATGCCTCTACTTTTAGTGATGATTATGGGCATTGTGAGAGAATTGTCCAGAAATGGGCATTTTCTTCACTTGAAGAAGAAGCCAAAGAAGACAAACACACATTAAGGGATTTGCTGTTTTTTCTCCATGTCCCCAGAACAGGCGGGCGAACATATTTTCACTGGTAATTTCATACATGCATGGTACAGTTAACTAAATACTGACACTATACATATGAAGTTATAAATTTATGCTTCTGGCTGTTTTTTACAATGCAGTTTCTTGAGAAAGTTGTACCCTAACTCTCTGGAATGCCCTCGATCTTATGATAAGCTGCGATTCGATCCAAGGTAATATTTGTTTGTTTTCTCTCTCTGATAGTATTTATGCTAGACGTTTTCTAAATTTTATAATCATTTGAATATCTAGTAGATTTCAAATAATAAATTTTCTTTTGAATAGCAAACGCTCGCTGCTTCTTGGGGTAATTGGATAGCTGACCCATTTCTGTCTAAATGAGTATTGAGTTATACATGGAGGTAGTTCCAGTAAATGTCAGTTGTTTGTAGGCTAGAGTTTCTTGGGAGTTGAAGCGAAGACGCTCCATTGGAGGACAGTTTGACTTATATATTACAGAAAAAGCTTGAGAAAATTTTCTTTCTTATTAACTTATTTGACTCTATCCTTTTGCAAACTCTGCTTCTGCCTGGAATTGTAGTTTATACTGATTTTGTATCCTATGCAGAAAACAAAAATGCAGGCTGTTGGTTACTCATGATGACTATAGTATGATGTCTAAACTTCCGAAGCAGAGAACTTCAGTAGTGACAATACTTAGGGATCCGGTGGATCGTGTCTTCAGTACTTATGAATTTTCAGTAGAAGTAGCAGCTAGGTTTTTGGTGCATCCTAACTTAACTTCTGCAACACAAATGGCTGCACGATTGCGTGCTAAAACTACTGGTGTAAGCACACTGGATATCTGGCCGTGGAAATATTTGGTTCCATGGATGAGGGAAGACCTTTTCGCTCGTGTATGTTTCATATTCTATTGCTTGATGTATCTCCTTTATATGTGAGGATGCACAAATGTGTTCCTGTTTTTTGTGTTGCTCTTTATTATTTTTCTCTCGTCACATAAGCACCCACATGTAATCCTTCCATATCTCTTAAATCACTTTGGGCGTTAGTTTATATTTTTCCACTATAACTGATAACATTGAAAGATATTATCATTATGTCAGACTATGAAAATGGATCCTAGTTGAACGTCTACCAACGAATCCGTCTTTCCTTCTTTGATTCACTTTTTGAATATACCTGTAAGAGCTTTGCTGAGGACTCGCCTGGTTTTATTCTTATTGTTATGCGCAGAGAGATGCTAGAAAGCACAGGGGCTTGAATGAAATTATGAGCAATGACCCATATGACATGTTGGAGATGGTTATGCCACTACAAGAATATATTGAGGATCCTATTGCTCATGAGATCATTCACAATGGGGCAACTTTTCAGGTAGCATGGTGGAGCAGGTCCTTAGGCCATAGTTCACTGCATTTGTGTAGTTCTAATCTTATTTGTGGCTCAATCTATCCGACAACCGTTGAGCTTAATACCTGACTTCTTAGCTTTAAAGGTTGCAGGATTGACAAACAACTCCTATACTCCCGAGTCACATGAAGTTCGCCAATGTGTGCAAAAGCACACAGTTCTCGGTGATCTAGTGCTTCAAGTGGCAAAGGTAATACAATAAAGGTCCTTTTACGGGCCTTGTGCTTGTGAAGTAGCCTCTATCTAGTGTTTAAAGCTGAGGTGTTCAGTGCAATGTTTTGAATGGTATTGTGTCAATGTCCATTTTTCTCTCATCATCCTTTTTTCGCCAAATGACCATGATAGAGATTTGCTAAAATCCTGCAGAAGCGGTTAGATGATATGTTGTATGTTGGTCTCACTGAAGAACACAGAGAATCTGCGACCATGTTTGCAAATGTAGTGGGTTCACAAGTGATTTCTCAGCTCAGGACGTCAAGCTCAAGCACAGAGAGCACCGCTGACAACAAATCAGGTTAGTGGTGTGACAACTGTTTTTTTCTCTTTAGTTAACCTTCTGTATTTATCAAATGCAACATTTGAATTGGTTAGCCTTTGTTTGTTTTTAATTTGGGAGATGTTATCATTTTGGCATTTAGTATTTCTTATGTTAACTAGGCATAAATAACGGATGTGCAAAGAAAGTTACTCTTGTGGACTTTCTGAATAAAAATGGAATTGGAAACACCTATTTCTTTGAGCTGGTTTTTGTACAACACCCGGTTCAATTTTACATCTACTTTAGGTTGTTTGCTGCTTTAGTGCTTTTTTTCCCCCTTCTGGATATGTCAGTACTTAAAAATGTCAACACTCTTGTTCCAGTCAAGTATTAGACAGCATAGATTCATTGCACAGTGATTAATTCATTTACTTTTTTATAGCACGGAGTGCTTCGATTTCAGATTCCAGGCCCAATAACAATCACCATCAGGTAATCAAGAAAGTTTTTCTTTGCTTGTTCTTTCGAGAAAAAAAAAATCTTAAATGACTGGTTTGAATTGGACATTATCCTTATAACTTTTTCACTGCACTTTTCCTGCACAATAGAAGAGCACCTCGGACCAAAACACTACTGACATAGCTTCACCCGAAAATGATGAAGCACTAAAAGAAAATGTAAGCTACTTCATATGATGTGAAACTTCTATATATAAGCATGAGTTGTGATCTGTTCCTCTATTTTGACAAATGTTGCATTTTGATCCCAACTTTATATTAGATGACTGTGGGAGACCTTATGGATGCTTATGAAGTTTGCATCTCTAGTTTACGAAAGGCCCAAACACAACGGCGCACCTCTTCTTTGAACAGGATCTCACCAGTAAACTTCACCAAGGAGGTATATGTAAAATTTTAGTCTAATGAAGCAAACTGATTACGTCATGCGTTATTTTCCATGAGCTATTCTATCTCTGCACACGTTTTCTTTTATTTGTATTCTTGTGAATATGGCCGCAGTCCAATTCGGTCGTGGGGAAAGTTCTTTTTTGCTTTGTTGATATAATTATGTCTTAAGCTGATTTAAATTCAAGATTAGCATCCCTCATGGAGCTCTGAATTTCTGAATTTTCTGTGAGAAGATTTGCTATTTGCAAATGCATGAAGATGTTTCCCACTGTGTTTTGCTCTTATTTGCTGGGTGTTATGGTCTGATACCCCATATGATGTTAATTTATTTTGTTCTATTAAAAAGTTGCAGGTGCTGCTTTTCTTGTTTACACCTTTGTTTTCTATGTTTTGTGCTAGCTTTTTGTAAGAAAAAGCCTGGATATGGATATGGATATGCTTTTGTTGACTTATTACCTGAAACAATCTCAATGCCTTGGTTACTCGCACCTTGCAGATTACACTTCGAATGAGACTTCATTTGCAATATTGGCTTTTTTTTTATTATTATTATTTTACTTTAACTTGTTTTCTCCCCTTTGGTTTCTGCTAACATCCCAAAGCTTGAAATTCAACAGGCACGCCATCATGTCTCTAAAGCGGTCCTCGAACAAATAAGGTCACTTAACCACCTGGATTTGGAACTCTACAAATATGCCCAGGACATCTTTGCAAAACAACATAAACGTTCAATGCATAATTTTGTTGGCATAGTAAGTCTCTTTATCCAAAGATGCTTTTATTGTCCTTACAATTCTCTTTTTTCAGTGGCTATGTATATTTGTAAGATTGTATTGGCTTCTCTTCCAGCTCGTTAATTAGTTAGGTACAGCCCTCAAGTTATGATTTTATGATGAAGTTATGGCTTGGAAATTGGAAGAGATGAATTTAATATCATGAATTAGAAGGCTTTCATAGGCACTTTCTTTGGAACTGTTGAGATGATTATATGACCTAAGCCAATATATGCTTACTGTTTTAGCCATCAGCTGTTGCATCGTAATTGATGCCATTGTCCTTGTCAGAGTCTTATTCTGACCCTTTTTGGTTGTTTTATCCTAACTTCTGCACTTCCTGTATATGCCTCTCTTAGAGCGGCTAGGGTGCATGTGAGGATGTCTCTGTCTGTTTTTTTCCCTTTCTCTTCCTGTCTGAGATGTTAATCAGAACATAAAATTGAGGTTTATTTTTTTTCTTTTTTTTTTTTTTTGCATTTTAGGAGCTTAAATGATAATAAAAATAAAAAATAAAATAAGAAAAAAGTTATCACACTGTAGAAGCTGAGCTGTATTTGTGGTAACATGGCATATTTGAGGACAACTCCACTTCGTCATTTTAGCTTGTTTTCTACCATTGAATTTGTATATTCCAGTTATCATTCTCTGTAGTTATAATGTCTAAGATGGCACTGTAACTGTTAAATCTAAATTTATACCTCATGAGGGTAAATGCTTAAAAATATACTCGTCCTCTTTTCGACGCCATCTTGATTGCTCCAAACGAGCAGCACACTTATATTGTGGCTTAAATTCTTTTGCGTATATTTAACTTGCAGGAGAAGTTGGAGAGTATGTTCAACAATTCATACCGCAGGACATTTTGGAATTTCCTTTCAATAGGCATGACCCTTGTCTCACTCCTTATCTTCTTTGTATTTGTAAATGCACGAAGAAGAATGTTGAAAGTTAAGGTATGAATGCTTTTGATTGCCATTATATTCCTGGAACACAGGCTCAAAAAACGAGTTACAAAAAGGAATAAAGAAAAGTATCCACATTTTTGTACTCTATGCCAGTTTATAGATCTTAGCTTTGTTCTTTTGGTGGCTGTCCCATTAGTTGTCTCTTGTACTTGAAGCTAAGTTTTTGGTTTGCTTTCACACAGTATAAGCCTGCATTTTTAGTTAAAATTCCATTAGAAATGGCATAGTAAAGCGGCCTATTTTGGATCTTAGAAAGCAGAACCTGGTCTTTTGCATTTGGTTCAACGCCTATCGATATCATATGACATTGATAAGCTGCCATTAGAGCTAGGTCTTGCCAAATTGGTGATTCAGGGAAAGCTATGGCTATGTTGATGAAGCCCTTGTCGGGTAATAGAAACCAACACATGATATTTTTGAGACACTGAAAAGACTTCCAGAAGTTCAGTTTTGTTGCCATTCCTTCCACCATGTGCGAGAGGTCCCATCACAGAACATAATATATATGATACTATTTTTTGCTTCTGTTTATTGACCTTATTATATTATGTGGAGTAGGGAAATAGAATGAGAAAGGGTAAGTAGAATAATACGTCTCTTTTTATCCAAATGAATGAACAGTGTATCTCTTTTGTTTTCTTGTGACTCTAATGGTAGTGAATTATGTGTATATATTGTTATGGAATGAGAAGGTGGTAATGAACTTGGCCTGAAATGAGAAAACGTCAAAGGAATTTATACACAAAACAAATTTCCATAGGCTATGAGAATTGATACGTAACGAATTTCTTTTCTATCTATTTTTCTGACGAGAAGAAAACGTTTTTATCTGCATAATGCGTTTTTTTCTTGGCTTCAATGTTATTATATAATGTGGAGTAGGGAAATAGAATGAGAAAGGGTAAGTAGAATAATACGTCTCTTTTTATCCAAATGAATGAACAGTGTATCTCTTTTTGTTTTCTTGTGACTCTAATGGTAGTGAATTATGTGTATATATTGTTATGGAAAGAGAAGGTGGTAATGAACTTGGCCTGAAATGAGAAAACGTCAAAGGAATTTATACACAAAACAAATTTCCATAGGCTATGAGAATTGATACGTAACGAATTTCTTTTCTATCTATTTTTCTGACGAGAAGAAAACGTTTTTATCTGCATAATGCGTTTTTTTCTTGGCTTCAATGCAATTTCTGCTAAAGGCCAAGATCTGCTTTATTGCACGATCTACAGTAACGTGATTAAAGTCGCCATTCGCATCAAAGATGAAACATAATTATCGATTTTAAAAGGAGTTGGCCAGGTTGGCTTTTCTTTAACTTTCTTTAAGATTGCAAACTCTAGTTTTTTTTTTTTTTTTTTTTTGCTGGGACCAGTAATTTTTTTAATTAGAGGGAAAAAAAAGAAATTAAAAAGGTATTTTTTTTCCCTTAAAAGAAAGCCTCTTGTAACCGCGTCTCTTTTATTTATAACGAGAGTTAATTTTACGAATGGTCCCTAAGATTTAAGTTTAATTTCACTTTAGTATTTGATTTTTTAAACGTCGTACAGTTGGACCCATGGGTTTTATTATGTTTCAATTTCGATCATTCTATTAGCTTGGTGTTAAATATGTGACGAAAATTATAAAAATTATGAACTAAAATTGAAAACATATAAAATTAAAAGACAAACAATACAAAAATTAAAAGTAAATTTTCACAGATTGACCTAAAATTTTAGTTGTTCTAATTTACACAGATTTCATTAAATTTTAATACATAATTGATGGAATGATTGAAATTGAAACAAAATAAAACTTCAGAGACTATATGTGCGACGTTTAATTGTTATGAATTAAAGTGAGATTGAGTGTAAATCTAAGAAACTATTTGTGAAATTAACCCTTGTAATAATTATGGGTTCAAAAATAATTAAAACCAATCATATATATTTCTTGCATAGTTTTTCTGGTAGAAGAGTCCTACTAGTAATGTCAATTTATGATAGTTAAATATAATTAAAAGTACATCATATTAAAAAAGTATGCGGAACAAATAATTTTGATACACATATAACGATTGAAGTAAAAAACTACTAGTTATTTATTTTTTCTAATAGTAGTTACTTTTTAATATAATTATACTTTTTGATTTAACACGTTCATGGAAAATCCTCATATGTATACTTAAATATATAGAGAAGGTCTCAGAAATTTTACTCCATGAAAACTTCTAACGTTTTATTGTATTAATGAAATTACATAATTTAAAACATTAAATTACATCATAATAAAAAACGTACAAATAAAAACTTGCAGTCTAAATATATACAATACAACATAGTTTTTTTGTAACCATTAGTCCGTTCTTTTTGCTGAGTCGAGTTTAAAATTTAAATTTTGCTATAGTAAAAAATTCTAAAAAACAGTTATATCTAACTTTTTGCTACAGTAAAAAGTTCTCACACAACATCACATCTCAACTCGAATTAAAAACTCGAATTAGTGAACCGAAGAGACGTATGAGAACTAAAATTCACTAAATGAATAATAACAAACGAGCTTTTCCCCTTTCTAAAAATTAATAATTTGTCTAACCACAATTTTTAAATCATTTATGATTTGAATCTTCAACACTTCAATAACGTAAATAAATACCATTCGATCTAGTATCTAATTGTCGGTGATCTGTACATGTTATTTGTACCCAAAATAAAAAAATCAGACCCACACATCCTCTCACCGTTACCATAATAAATAAAAACACACCAAACGCCGACAATCCAAAACTACATCACAATCAAGTAAACAAAACATACGCTGATTAGAACACAAGAGCCGAGGGTCCACCGTAAAAGCTGTAAAGGTTATTGTACTACAATACGCGCACTGTCGAAAGAAAACCTAAAATTCCAATTTCCAGACATCAGAATCCCAATCTTCTCTCTTTGCTCGCACAAACTCGCTGTCTGTCTCTATCTGACACCCTAACGGTTCACCGGCGATCGATCTCTGCTTGTGAGATGTAATGGCGGAGCTGCAAATGCGCTTCTTCTTGTTCTTCATCTTCTGAACATCACTCCTCCATTGATTTTCTCCCAGCTCGGAGTTTTAGGTTAGCTGAGCTTCGTCTTTCTTCTCCCTTTCCTGTCTTTTACGCCATTTGGTTTACTTTTCGTGTTTGGTTTCCGAGAAAGTGAGGGGAAATGGTGGGAGTCTTTCCGTAAATGGGATTTGAAACGAGAAAAAAATGAAAGAAATGATTTCTTGGGAATAATGTGGGGAAAAACTGTAATTTTTTCTTTATATGCCCTTTTCAAGCAATTTCTCAGTTTATCAGTAAGCGTATTTGAGATTTTTTGTGAGGATTATTTCGTCATCCGTTCGTCGAGTGTCTGAAACAGAAGTGAATTTGGAAGAAAATTGAAAACGACGTCGTATATCCGTTTTCAAAAACCGGGATAAGTTCTCCTTTTGTAACCATTTTCCAAAATTTATTGTGATCCCGATATTGAATGAATTTAAGGATCCTCTAGAATATTCGAAGTCCTTTTCTATATATTTTCAGAAGTTGATTTTTTTTTTTTTTTTTTTACTTTTATCTGTACATAATTTTTGGTTGCTAATTACGGTGGTCTTTCTCTGATTCCATTTTCCCAATTGGGATATAATTAATCACACGTATAAACCCAAATCAACGAGATTACGTTGCCTTATTTTTTTTTTTTTTACTAATAATCACCTTTTTTTTTTGTAAGTTTTAACCAATAAAAATTTAATGCATGCATTTCTTTATAAAGGGTGTTTTTTTTTTTTATATCTATTTTTAAAAACTTTAGAGTGTATGTTAAATGGTACAGTACCTTTGAATTAACGTTGTCTTATTTTGTCACTTTTGTTAGACTGTACTAATTGACATGGTTGGTTCGTTGGACTTTGATGGAGTCTCCACGGATTTGCTTAACATTTTTGATTTCCCCCTGGAAGATGTGGAAGTCGGTGCTGAAAAAGATGACTGGAACGACATACAATTGCTTGATCTTCCATCTGATATTTCAATGGGGCTTTCATCTGTGTTTTGTAGTGGCTTACAGAAAGATAGTTCAAAAGAAATTAAAAATATCTCCTTTTCGGTGAGTTGTTATTTTTCCTCTTATGTAAATATATGTATGTATATATATATATATGTGTGTGTATATCTTATGTGTTTATATATTTATATGAATAAATTTGTTGACTTTGTCATCCACTAAACTGAAAGTCTTTGAGTTTTATGTCGTCAGCGTACGTGTATAATATGTACTATGTAGACTCTTATTTCTTGGTGTATGACTGATAAAGCGAATGACTGGTGATTCTAATCTGTCCTGGGGTTGAAGAAATGTGATTATTCGAACAAATTGGTAGCGGTAGCATACATTTTTATCAAAGTGTAGAGATGACTTGGCTATTTTCGACGGGAAAAAAATATATATATATTGTTAGGTGACGTTGACAGAGAAAATAAACCAGTAACAACTGGAAGGTAAAGGGAAAAAGACAATTATAGGCAAGAAAGTATGGCACACAGGTGGGATGCAGCAGTGTTCCTGCAGATGGATGAGAATCAAAGCTATGTCTCGTGTCAGGATTACACTTCCAGTCTTGTGAATTTTTCGATCCGGGAATAGAAAGGTCCAGAAAATATGATTTCTTCTAAATTAGTTGGATTTGTATGTATCTACTAATTTTTATATCCACTGAACTTGTCATGAGTCCTGACTGATTTGCTTCTCTGGAAATACATCGTGTTTTTTATTTATATTTTTCCATGTAGTATTTAATTCCTCATTTACATTATTAGTAATCAATTTCCTTGAAGAAGTTTCTATGTGAAAAGATTGTAAAGACTAAAAAGATACTACGTGTGAATAAGCAAATCAGTCTTTAGATGTTACGGTTATACAAGTCTCTTTTTCACAATTTAAGCTGATGATTTTGTATGTACGTTGCTGTCAAATTGGTTTGACGCTTTGTTTCCTTCTTGAATTTAGTTACTGTTGGGTGACAGATACATGTGTAATTCTAGTGTATATACGGGGACGTTACAACATATTTGATTACCCTGATATTTTGTCTGTCCTATATTCTACTTTTCAGTATGACAGAACTTGTCGACTAAACCGATCGCCAAGTGCTGCTGAAACGACTTCTAGTGGAGGGATTGTCCTAAGCGATGACTCTTCTTCTGATATCAAACATATCCACCTATTCAAGACCTCCAGTCCAGTGTCCATCCTTGAAAGCAATAGCTCCTGCTTTGCTGAAAATCCGAGAACTGCTGACCAAAAGTCCTCCGTCGTTCCAGTGAAGCGTCCACGAAGCAAGAAGCGTTCTCGCCCCTCAAACTTCGATCGGCTGTACACTTTACCTTTCATTGCAGCTTTGGAAAGGTTACGTCCTTCAGCAGCTTCTGAATCAGATTTAGGAGCTCCTCAGGTTGGCAAGATGTTCAAAACCGCCAAAAAAGCTATGAAGAAAAAAAGAGCTACGCCACACCCCATAGGTATAGAGGTTAGAAACGTCTCCTCGCAGCAATCGGGCGAGATCAAAAAATGCACGCACTGTCAGATGACAACTACCCCACAATGGAGGGAAGGGCCAATGGGCCCGAAGACCCTCTGCAATGCGTGCGGGGTTCGCTTTAGGTCTGGACGCCTCTTTCCAGAGTACCGTCCTGCAGCAAGTCCGACTTTTGTTCCATCGCTTCACTCCAACTCTCATAAGAAGGTTATAGAGATGAGAAACAAGGCTAGCCAGAGGGCCAACACCAGTAGAGCTGGTGTGGAACTTTATTTGCGTCCCCAGGCAGGAAATTCAGTTAGACAGTTAATTGTTTGATTATTATATATTTGATAGAACAGTCTTCTTGTTTAAGAGGTTCCTTGTCTGTTCTTGTTTCTTTTTTATAAATGAGGTTTATCGATCTTTATGTAGTACATTAATGGTAGCTAGGAGATTGCCTTAATTTCACCACTCTTATATTTCATTGTTAATTATCATGAAAACAAAAGACAATTTCAAAAGAATAGAGGGCGACCCTCAAATAAATTAAAACATAAGAACAGAGGTAGAAGCAACAAGACATTAAAAAAAAAAAATAATCAGAGAGAGAGAGTTCTACTTGCAGGAATATTTAAGCAACAGCACAAGTGTCGAACCACTACTTTGCCTTTAAACTCAAGGCAGAAATATTATATTGCAATACTCTACATGTGATTTATGCACATGTATATGGTGATCATGACCATTTACAGGAGGTATTTTTACACCAATAAATACGGCGGTTCATTTGACCATAGATTTAGAACTTAAATAAATACTTCTAATTTATATTGTTAAAAGAAATTTATTGAGTAAATCGAGTGTATTATGTCATCATGCTTACACGATACATCTAGTCAATAAAAAGTTGATATTTTAATAATGTGTTCAAGATAGTTTATTAAAAGTGAATTAGTTAAACTATAATTTAACACAACTTAATAAAAATATGGCATCCGAGAGTGGGACAATTTTTATGTTTAGGATTTTTAGGTCTCGTTCGCTTCGCGGATTTGAGTTTTCAATTCGAACTGAGATATTACATTTTTTAAGAGTTTTTAACTGTAACAGAAAAATTTAGATGTGACATTTTCTGAGAGCTTTTAATTATAAAAATTTTAAATTAAAAACTCGAATCGGTAAAATGAACGAGGCCTTAATGATTTTTGTTGCATTATTGTCAAAAATAATGTTTTTTTTTTGTCATTGTCAGAGGAATTTTTTTTTTTTATGTGCACTGAATTATTACAAGACTTAGTTAATCTCTTCATCGGATTTGAATGGTTGCATTAATCTTAGATTTATCTTTAAGCTAAATTTGATTTTTCGAGATTAACTTTAACTTTTATGAATGGTTTTTGAATTTATTTGTTAGATTATGATGAGATTTTATAGATCAATAGCTATGATTTATTTATTTATTTTATTTTTTTGAAGTTTTGAATGCAGGAAAAACAAGTTGTCTCAACAGTACAAGAGGACGAGCCTGCCTTTCAAGTGTAAACACAGTTACTACGATCAGAGCAAACTTGTAATCTGTTTTTGTCGATGTGTTCGACGGTTGAGATTTTTGTCACGTTAAATAATCATATAACAATCTTCTTACCTTTATTTTATTTTTTTTTTCTGCACTAGCAGTTGTTTGTAGAAACACGCTAACGATTTTTTTTACTAATTAATTTCACAGATTTGTTTTAGCTTTGAAGTGAACAATGAAAGGTTGTTGGAGTGGTTAGTTTCTTTCTAATTTCCGACCTTAATCCGCTCAAGTAAACTATCTCCAGGCTGTCACTTGTCCTATTTTGTTAAATCTCTGATCTTCTAAGAAAAACCATAAATTTAAAAAAGTCTTATGGTCAAGCAAATCAGATCTGATAAGTAAGTTGGAGTGGAGATGTAGCGAACGTGAATATTATTATTAGTAATTTAGTTTTTAGTCCCTCTAATAATATAACCCACATGCACTTAAAATACTGCAAATAATGGGTCATTCTTTTAGGATTGCATGTGCACATTACTACTGTCTGCCACTAGGTTCATCCCGCTAGACTTGGCATTGGACTTTTTATTTTAATTTTAGGCCCCGTTTATTTCACCGATTCGAGTTTCGAATTCGAGTTTTGCTACAGTAAAAAGCTCTAAAAAACAGTCACATCTAACTTTTTTACTACAGTAAAAAGTTCTCACATAAAATCACATCTCAACTCGAATTAAAAACTCAAATCGGTGAACTAAATGAGTCCTCGTACATACTTTTTTTTTGTTTCCTTGTTAGGATTATACACTACAATGTATATGCATTTTTACACTCGTCGTCTAGTCTCAGAAACCTGTCCAAGAAGAACAACTGGATACACAATGGCTTATGGATGAAAACGTGATTAACCCCCTTATTAATTACAATTTATGAATGGGTTTAAGGGTAAGGCAGCGTTTAATAAAACTTGAACTTTTCTAAAACTTTGATTTATCGCACTTTATTGCTCTCTACATTCTAATGTTCAAGTAACAATTGTGGTAAACTCTTTAAAAAAAAAAAAAAAAAAAAAAAAAGTCATCTGTTTTCACCAAATAGCTTGTTTTTATTGCTAAGAAAATACCTTTCTTTGTCCATTCACTACCATGTAATCTTATTATTGTTATCTTTTCATCTAACGCATGTTTTTTTATGGGAATAATTTTTAACATGAAAAATACATTTTCCTATAACTTCCGAATAACATATTTTGGAAACATATACTTGGGTGTCGAATTTTTCAGAGTTGTTTTTTGTTCTACGGGTAATATTAATGGCATAATTGTTTTATAGAAAAGAGAAATTTTTAATCATGCATGTTAAAAATATATATCTTTTTGTAGAAACGTTAAAATGGATTTAAATTCTAAAGTATCACGCTATGATTTTCCAATACACTATCTGATTTGTGCAAAAATTTGTTCTTAACGTGTCATTACCACTATAAATGCAGAAAGCCATTCCTCAATGACTATTGGTTGTGCCATTTGGTATTGGGCCAAGTAAAACTTAGTTAGATTTGGTTTGTGGGCTACAAGCCCAGATTTGGTGGGCTAAGCACAAAAAAACCTGGACTGGACCCACTAATAATGCCCATCTTCCTCCAAAGTATCTGCGGCCTCATTTCAATACATTGAGTTTAAGGCCTCATTCATTTTACCGATTCGAGTTTTTAATTTTAAATTTTTACAGTTAAAAACTCTCAAAAAATGTCACATTTAACTTTTTCTGCTACAGTTAAAAATCCTTAAAAAATATCACATCTTAGCTCGAATTAAAAACTCAAATCCGCGAAGCGAACGAGGCCTAAGTACCTAACCCGGCTATGATAAAAAAGAAATTGTTCTTCTATTTGGCACCAACAATGCTAAGCACTACGCACTAACAAAGGACGGGTCTCGCAGAGTGAGACTCACAGGTATAGTCCACACTCTATTAGTAATGGTGCTTCACACCAGTGAACCAAAGAGAAAAAAACAATCAAAGAGAATCAAACATTCCTCATTCCTCAAAGTGAACCAAAGAGAAAAAAAAGAATTACACAGACAGAAATTTATTCCAGGTAAATAGGAAAAAGGAATAAAGTGGAAAAGAGCTGGCTTTAGTTCATACATTCCTCAACGGAATGCCAACATTTTTCTCAAACTCGAAAATAAATCACAATTCAAATGCTGTTCAAAGAAGTTCAATGAAACAGTTTTTGCTTTGTAGTTCAACACAAAAGACAACAGCTCAAAAAAAAAAAAAAAAAAAAAAAAAAAAAAAAAACAAGCCCTAGGATCGGGCCCACAGCCCATAGCTACCTTTCTTTTTTTTTTTTTTTTTTTTCCTCTTTAAGATACATAGGCACCTAGTTGAGATGAAATGGAATCATACTTATTATTTAAGGATTGACCCTCTTTTCCCATTCCGTACTATATATGTTTTTACATTTTGTGCTAAAAACTGGTGTGACCATCCTTAAACTCTATTGCCCTCTCCCTATTTGGCATCTGGCTTTGCATCTTTAACGGTTCAAAGTACATTGTTCCATTGATTACACTTTTTTTGTTTGTTTTGTTTTGGTATTGTATTAGTAAATGAATTTCTACCAAAACCTAAACTAATGACAGTGAGAGCAAGTACCCCTACACACTAGTAACCCCACTTAACTATAGTTGTGTTTTGCAGAGGATATGAATTGGCATTTGGCAAGGGAATCTTCTTTCTATCATTGAAAATCTGTCGCTTTTACTCCTAAAACCTTATTATTACCTTTGAGCAAAGCTTAGCTCAGGATACCGGCAGGTTCCCAACTTAAAATTTCCTCGGGCCTGGGGTAAATTATAGTAGAAGAAACAAAGGCCTTGTTCCGCATACTCATTTTTGAGTGAAAAATTTAAAAAAAGACAACTCGAATTATAACTTTATTCGAGTTCATGTTCTTTTAAGTTTGAATTTGAGTTTGAACTCGAATTTGAAATTAAAACTCGAGTTTAAGTTTTCCCTTCAACACGAATTCAGAACCTCGAACTCAAGTTAATGAACAGTATTTTTTCTATTCTTAAAAATGCTATAATTTTTTCGTTTTAATTTTGATTGAGATGATTTTTTTCTATGCGTTGACAACTAAAACTAGACCCATATACCCTATTAAAATTTTTCATCAGCATTGAGTTTTTATTAAAATACTATCTAAATACAAATTCAAGTTTTGACTTACTCAAACACAAACTTAAAAAATATTCTTATCTCAAACCATAACTCAAATGTACACAACCAAACACAAACAAATTACAACTTCAACTCAAGTTATGACATAAACTCAACTCAAAATACCTAACTCAAAAACATCAAAAGAACAAGCCTAAAAATACCCACCACTTGTTAAAGATGAAAAAAACCAAATCCAAAAATTTAACTTACAACAGTATATACTCACCATGTCTTGTTGTAATCCCACTCTCGTTTTCTATTAACAAGCATAAGAAATACCGCGACCACATAAGTGTCTATAAGATTTAGCTGTTAAATTTAAAAATCGATACATATAATATATATACGAAAAATGCGTAGAAACACCATCGACACTAAGCGTCATCGTAAATAAAATGTGTATTCTACTTATGAATTTTACACTATAACACTCATATTCTATTAATAGACGGTGTTTAATATTACCGGTGTCTTATAATAATGTTCATACTTAATGTAGACACTCTCCTAGCTAGCCTTTTAGCCTGTCAAGAGTCAACAAAATTGCAAAACCCAAAAATTTTCAACTTTCAAAAGAGCATGAATATTCCAGTCGGAGCAAAAGAATTTTTAAAAAAAATGGAGGTTCATGAAGATGACCCACACCAAGGCACAATTAGGGCTTAGTGTTGGCCCGACATTCTTAGGTTCGAAGCAATTGATCAACAGACCCGAAATGCTACGTGTC